ATCCGTATATATGTATAATATACTGTGTAATTAATAAAATACCACAGAAATCATTGGCCAACAAAGTCTGTTATGGTAATAATAATAAAACTTCCTGGGTTAAAATGTTACAGAGTAAACAGCATTTAACAAAATCACACCAGTAAATAAATAAACTGTTAGTAAATTTACGCTACTTAAGAATAAAATAAGCAATAAGTAATTGTATAGAGGCAAAATGTTAAATCTAATATCATGCAGACAATTATGTTATTGTAGATGCTTCCACTTGTCAGTGTTCAAAAGTGATCACTTGTTTTCTGTCTGAGCCTCTGCAGTCACAATGAAGACTCTTATTTTGTTTGTACTTTCCTCCTCCAAAGAAACAAATGCAGATTCACACTTTTTCTAAACTGTTCTGAGAGAAATGAGTTCTTCATTAAATGTATGAGAGAAAGTGTGGGAATATTTGTTTTCACACCCGCACATATTTCAAATAGTGGAGTCATTAAACTGTAACATTAGACTGTAAATATGGCCTGCACTAATCTTCTGCATGCTGAGCACATATTGTTAATATCTGAAATTACATTTGAGATATTTTGAGTTACAGTTCAGAATTTTAAAGTCTAGTTGATAAAAAAAACAACAACTGTTGTTAATATGTGAAATTACAACTCTGGCTATTGAATAAATGTTGCAAGTCTTTCCTTAGAAATCACTTTTTGTTCATTAAATTGATGGCATGCTTCAAGTTCCAAACAGAATTATGTCTTAAAGATTGATCTGTATGAAGTATAAATATTTGAATATTTAAATAATTGAGATATCCAATAATAAAGTACAATGATAAACTTATCCACAAGTTCCACACATATACTTATAAACACTGAATGAACATGTATGAAGCCTAAATGGTTTTTTTTATGAACACAATGGTTGTATTTGTTCAGTGTGAGACCGGAGACATCATAATCCATACAGTAAAAACATGTAATGAACCAAAATATAATTTATATATAACTATATAATAATATTATAACAAAATATGACTAGTGGAAAGGGTCAAACAGAGAGGGATTATCTGGCACAACTTCACCAGCTACCAAGGTGCATGAAGAGTGAAAGACTTCATTAAGAAGAGGTCAGAAAGCTCCAGCCACACTTAGTAGTGTGAAGATCAACTTTAGATTAATTAGGTTGACATGTTCGAAGGCCACGAGCCTGAACGCTAATAATTAGTTAATATGTTAATAAAGTTGATCTTCATACTGAAAGTACTGCTGGAGCTTTCTGACCTCTCCTAGATAGATAAATAGATAGATAGATACTTTCTTGATCCCGAGGGAAATTCAAAGCATCCAGTAGCAGGTTACAAAGACGTACATGACATGAAACATTTGTTACAAATTAAACCGGAAAAACCGACGCCCCCCTCCCATATATATATATTGACCCGAAAAAAAAGATTTAAAGAATACCCCTAGATGAATCAAACTTAAACTGTGTAATTAAAAATAGACTTATACAATAAATGTACATAACCCGTGCAGGGATAAAAATATATGTGTAATTTAAAACAAGAACCGATAAACAAGTTGAGGAAAAATCTGTAATTAGACCTGAATATAAAAAAATAAAAAAGTGTTGACCTTCTGAAGTTGTGTTGTTTATATATGTACAGCAATGTTTTAAAAGCAGATTGTGCAGAGTTATCAAAAACAGACATTAAATAACAGGCAGTGCACACATTAAATTAAAGGTGCTATTTAAGTAATTGAGGTGATCATTAAAGTAGAGGCTGACTCTTGGGACAGCTGTGCAGATGGGAAATGGAAAAAGGAAGATTTAGTCCAAGTGTGTGTTTTCCCCTGTCCATAACCGTGAGGTGTTGTACAGACGTATGGACAGGGGGACAAAAGAGTTCTTGAGTCTGTCTATGGAACAGGATTGTGACAGCAGTCTGCCACTGAACACACTCCTCTGCCTGCTGAAGGTGCTGTGCAGAGGGTGGTGGGTGTTGTCCATGATGGAGAGCATTCTGTTCAGGGTCCTTCTCTCTGTCACTGTTGAAAACAAAATGCTACCAACCATTTTTGTGTGCAAAATAACATGTTTTTATTTCTTTATTTTTACTTGCCCTGCGTTTGTCAGGGTGGTAAAGTGCCTTAAGTTTACATAAGAATGTTTCTTGTGCTATTTGACTTTATAAAATATATAAATAATGATTAAAACAGACTTAAATCAAATAAGGAACAGCTGCTGTGGAAAAAAAAAACTCAAAGCAGCCATCTTTTACTTTTTCTTTTCTCTAAACAAAGCTGATATGCCTGGATGTCCTGAAGAATTTATTTATTTCACTACCTAATATTTTTAGGGAGTGAAAAAAGTTAATTTATTTGTCAAGTGTCAATTGACAGACCAAAGTGACACAGCCGGATTATAGCTAACACATCTGATTTCTTCCCAAAAGATATCTAATTTAAAAACTAAAGTTCTGATCATTTCTTCAAACTGTTGTCTCATACTGATACGTTAACAAGATGAAGTTCTGTAGCAAAAACATCAGGTTAGTTTATGAGCGACTCTTTCTACAGCGATGTCCACCAGTATGTCTGTGGACTGTACGCAGCCAACTGATCCTCTGTCATGATGTCAGACAAAAAAAAAAAACAGCAACCCGAGTCTGTCAGAGTAAATAAATAAATGAATGAAGCATTTTTGAAACCATGCATTTTCAAGCTGCAGGCAGTGTGTTGTTTTCTCACTGCCAGCAGAAACAGCCTACAGGAGAAATCCATCATGAAGTCAGTTTGACATATTTATGTAAAAGCAAAGATGAGAAATAAGTGTAATTAACCTTTAATAATCCAATGTTAGAAAACTGTTTTAGCTGGCTATGAAACAGACTGAAACAAATACAGATGCCTCTGATGCTACTGGAACAAAGACAATCATCATAAAGGATTCTTTTTATAGTAATAATTAATGTATGAACAGCTGCTGTGGGATGTGTGTGTCAGTTATAGTGATTACAACAATTGCTAAAACAAGTTTTTCAAAACATTTTCTAAGGCAATTAGTCTTAATGAACAACACCTTTGACTTTTAAAAGAACAATGAGATGAAGTCTTGTTTTAAAGCTGATGAAGCACTTTTATCAAATGTATGATCCGACACCAACACTGTCACTGCTTACCGTTACATTGAGCCGTGATTAAATGTTATTCTCAACAGTAACATGAAGTTCCTCATCCATGTCGTGTTTCAAATGCAGCTGAATGATTATTCACTGTAAGTCATGTAAGACCGTCTTTCTCAAGAAAAAACAATGAACACAACTCCAGGATTGAAATCTCATTTATTTGAGCTATGTACAGGAGAAAAATGCTGAATTTCACAAGTAACATGAAAAAATGAAAAATAAAATCACATCTCATCTCTCTGGCCTCTGTCACAGAGGTGCGCTGGTTCATGATAACAGCTCCCTGCCTCTTGCGCACGCACGCACGCACACACACACACATCACACACAAACACACAAACAAGGTCTTCTCATACACTGCCTCTCTCTTTCTCTCTCTCTGTCACTTTAAATGTTAGAAATGTACGTCTCTCTGGTAGATATGTTATACTGCATTGGAGGGGAAGCTGTGCTGTTGTGACATTTAAACTATCCTGTCGTCTGATTTCGGTGCGTTTCTAAGCAGTGAGTAGAGGTGTAGGTGTGGGGGGAGCGTTTGAGCTTCTCATCATATAAAACTATCTTCATGTGCCATCCTTCCAACTCACACACATACACACCATTTATATGCATGTACACAGTAGCGGTAATGTATGCAAGCACACACACGCACACACACACGTGTACACACATGCGAGCACACTCGTCCTCCAACTTTTCTCCTATGATTCAGTTCACAGACTTTCTCAAGGTGAAGGGCAACAGGTGATCAGCCCTGTGATTAACAAATGCAAAATAATTATATTAATAAGAAAAACTATCCCATTTAATTGAATTTTCTCCGTTTCTTTTCTCGCGTCACTCCTGTCCGAATCCCTCCGTCTCCTCGATGGCGAACAGGAGTTTCTCTCGGAGCTGTTCCAGGCTTCTGTAGGGCGGCAGATCCAGACGATTGAAGCTGTGAGGGGGAGTGACAAACAGGAAACTATTAATCCATCCTCTGTGCATTCACAGTGTGGCAGCTGTCTCACATCTAACACACAGTACACTTAAGAATCAATTGATTTGATTAACTATTGCACAAACAGATAAACAACATTTTTCAACATAGGAGGACTGGTATTAATATTGGATCATGTGAAACAGTTTGCAGAGTTCCTACATATTACCATTTAACAAAATTCTATACATTTTCAGACTAAAACCTCTGCAGATGTTTAGACATTCCCTGTCATCAGCAAACAAGAAGCTGCCTGTTTATGATGGAATTTGTTTTAAAATAAATCATTTAACCCCCTTTAATTACATCATCCACGATATAATCTATAACTGTGTGCTTTATACACATTGCTGCACTTCAGTTCATATCACTATGACTATCCACCTCCAAACAAAGTAGTAGTCCAGGAACACAAATGTTTTCTACACTCTCCTTCTCCCTCCATATTTATGCGGGCCAGAACTACAATCAAAGTGAAAACTCCTTCTGAAGATCGTAGGATCCCTGAGTATGGTGACAAAACAAAAACAAAACCAAGGCTAAAATCACACTCAGAAGTTTTTTTAATTGAAAGAAGATCAGTCAGAAGAAGTAACAAGTGGACCTTTGAGCAGCAAGTTTTCCTTGTTAACGGACGAGGCAGCAGCTTACCATGTGTGGCTTCTTGGAAGCCAAGTCTCCTTCCCCACCTTGTCTATGCAGAACTTCTGGGGACCGTTACTTCCTGCAGGGGTCAAATGAAGAAAATAAAAAATGTCATTTAATACCATGTGAATGTTTTTTTTTTTTTAATCATAGCTGTCTAAGGAAAACATATATCGATATATATATATATATATATATATATAAAGATTTATACACCAACTATAAAGAGAAATACTTCAGTCATCATGTAAAGGAAAGTCTTATGAGGGGAGGGAAGTGACTTGTAGCATACTACTTTTTAAATGAAGGAAAAAACTTTTCCTCAAAACAAATTTAATCATATAAAAAAAAGGTTATGTGAGAAACCCTTATTTCTAAAAACCCTTTCAGAGGAAAATATCACAACACAGTGAGGGATGTGTAGTTGTGTGAACCGATGTTGTGTACCTATGAGTTCAGCGTAGCCTCCGACAGGCAGCCGGCACGTTCCTGTCACGAACTGAAGCAGACGGATTCTCTTCTCGTTGTCCATCTCCTTCACCACCTGCAGGAATGAAACTCCGTCATTCTCTGAATACTGTCACATCAGTGCTCGCTCACACTGTGTGGTGTGTTCAGAGTGTGTGTCCGTACCTGCCAGAACCAGTGGATCTGCTTGCTGTTCTTGGTGTAATGTCTATAGATGGTGTTCTTCTGCCAATCAGCCATATCGATCTCCTGCATTCCGCACAGCATGAGCTGGAACACACAACATGCTAATTCAACACCATCCTCATGTTTTTTATGTTATATGGAGCCATTATGCCTACTCATACATCATGTGAGTCACTGCCTCTGAAGGAGCCGGCTAAACACTGAACAGATCAAAGCATTGGCTTCAGCAGGGATTCATGATGGTTAACGGAAACAGACTTTGAAAGTAACGAGTGCAGAAAACCTGCTGTGTTCATAAGGGTGGTCCTGTTCATCTTTTCTAATATCATCATCATTAATGGAAACTTAAAGGGTTATGATGTTTTTCATCTGGATAGGGCGCAAATGACAAACTGAACCACAGCTGGAACTGACTGCAGGTTCTTTTCTACTCATCCTGCCAAGAAGTAGATTATTTCTAACAAACCTCTGCTTGTTTTAAGAGCTTCACTGCTAAAGAAAGTCCATCTTTCTAAAGTCACTGTAACTGATGAACCTTATGAGCTCTGACTCTTTGTCTTTTTGTTTTACAGGTTGAAATGATTCCCCTACATAAATCTTCTACAGAAGAAGTGTCCGTCTGTTAGCTGTACCTCATGCATTTTCAATATGAGGGGAAATTTGGGGCAAGGAAGAAATTGAACAAGTTGGATATAACCATATTCCATGTTTCATGTGTTTTCCTGTTGGCCCTCCTCACCTCCAGCTCCTTTTCATCAAAGTAGCGGAGCCACTCCAGAGGAACCACCTCGTTGAAGCCATCCAGGAAGGCTTTGGTCTGCTCCTCTACTCCGCGAGTGAACCTCCAGTCTGTCAGCAGGCTGCGGGGGGAGGAAGAGAGGTTGGTTTTTATGGTCTCCATCACTGACATCACTTCTCTTTTAAGTTATTATTTGTGCACTCTTCATCTCTGTTTGAACATACCCGATGTACTCTTCCTTGTTCTCCTCTGTGACTAGCTCATTCTCGCCGTCGTCTTTCAGCTGGTGGGTGGAAACCTTCCCGAGGATCTCCATGTCCTGTGCAAAATACAGCTCCACGCCACACTCCTCCAGGTTGTTCTCTCTGCACACAAAGAAAATCAATTATAATTATATGAGCAATTTAATGAAGAGACCTGAAAACAGAACCGTGTTTCAAATAATCATCTAGTTGCAATAAATAAAGAACGAGTGAACTCAGAACCAGAACGTGTATCATGGAGTATTTCATTTGGCTTTCTGAATCAGTTTGCTGTTCATTTAATCGCAAAATTTTAAATAATCGCTGTACTGCTGTTCCATTTATCTGATGTGTTTACCTTAAGGCTGTGAGATAAGATGGAAAGACACATGTGGATTTTGTGTTTTCATCTCAAGAGGTTGATCATCATTCCTTCCGTTTTAAACTTGTAACTGAGTGATTTCATAATAATACATATCGTGGTTTTAAAAGAGAGATGCAGAGTTAAAAAATGAAACATGAATCAGAACGAGAGTCTGGGAAATGTCCTTCTGAATGGTTTTCTTAACAAAGACACAACGATGAAGAGGTAAACCCGCCTGTGATACTTACTTGACCCACATGATGGAGTTAAAAAACTCAGGGTCTATGGACTCCAGGTCTTTCAGGGTGGGTTTCTTGTCCAGCATTCGCTTATAGAACGGTAGTGTGAAGCCCGTGTCGATGAACTTCCCGTGGTACAGCGCCTGCAGGGAGGATTGGTTACATTAGAAACCACAATAAGAAACCTGCTTTCCTGGTTTTCACTGCTAAAATCCAGAAACATACACATAAAAACACAGCGTCAGATCCCTAAACCTGATGATACGGCAGGTTTGAGTCCCTGGATTTAACCAACGAGAGCAATTTAACTTTTAGAGCGATGTAACCCCCCCCCGCCCCCCCCGACCGCTGTAAGTCTGCTGTATTATAGTGTTATTGTATGGTCTTTAGTGACATATGGTTTAAATTAGCTTTAGACAAACTGCACATACATTCTTCTCAGTAGCTCAGTGTTGATGATTCACTGGGGATTGTTACATGGACATTCAAGTGTTGGAAATGCTTTAGCAGCCAGTCCCCTTTACAGGAAGCATGAATGGGCCTTTTATTCCCGGCAGCTCCACACCTGCTTTTACACACAGGAAGTTATAAGGACTAAACTATAATGTCATAAACGTCTCACACGCTGGACCTGTGCACATTTCACACTTACAGCTGCAAAGGTGACCTCTGAACTCTACTACTCACTTTGTGTCAAGATGCAGGACCAGGATGCAGCACTCACAACGTTCAAAAATGTAAATATCAAACGTGGCCTGAGTGAGTTAAAGTCAGTAAAATAGGGCAGATTGGGACATTATTTTCACATTTAGTAAAACAGAGGGCCCACAATAGCCGGTACTAAAGAAGCAGCTTGGTTTCAGAGTGAAAGTTCCTTAAATCTGCATTACTTCTTATGGACAGCAGGGGGAGACTGTGGCGAAGACAAGGACAACCTGTCTCCTTATTTGATTTAAAGATGTGAAGAGTTTCCCATCTAAGCTAATGTTCTCACTCATTTCTTTCTTCAAGGCCCAATTTAGATGTAAACTGACAGTAAAGCAGAGCACGCTTTGGCTACCTGTGGTTGAAGAGTGGCCACCACAGTGACCTAACAGATCTCATTTTAAGTGATTTTTTTATTCAAAGTACTGAGAAGTTTGCAGTTCAACTTGTCAGCAAAAAATGGCCAATTCTTACTCAATAAAGTCCAAGATGGGAGCGTCCATTATGCTAAACTTGCTCATTCTAAAGCGCGCTCAACAATCGAATGGATGAATTCAAACAAATCGGACCGCCAACATCGGACTGTGTCGTCCCCACAACCACCGCCGTCCTCATTCATGCACGGCCGACTCCGACCTCCACCTCAGCGGCAAGAAAGTGTGGATACAGGAATGCGAAGAATACAAAGGAGAAATCCGTCCTGCATATTATCCCATCTCCCCGTTCCCATTTTTCTTAACAAAGAGTAAGGTCTTTTACCTGCTCTTTTGAAAAGTGTCTCGAGATAACACTTAGTTATGAATTGGTACTTTACAAATAATGCTTGATTGATACAAATACAAGCAACTAAATGTTACAGTATGTTATTTTTTTATTCTATTTTTAAAAAACTGTGAGAACAAAGTAAGAAATGTCAAATGTCTGTGTCTGGTTGCAATCTGCCACTAAAAAGTGTTCAAAATGACACTCTGGTGAGTTGTGCTGAATCTTTTCAACTTAAGTCTTGTAGTCAGAAATATGAGGAGTCACTTATATTTGATGACTTTAAGAGAAAACACAATGCTAACTGAAGCCCATGTGTGCACTTAACACAAAGACATTCAGACGGCTTCAAACCGTAATGTGTGCATGGTGTGCGTGTGTGTTCACACAGAGGTAGAGTGAGCTGTCTCAGACAGATGGAGCTGTTTAATGTTCAAAAACCCACAGAGGGCTCAGAGCAGTGATGAGCCAAGAACAACACAGACACTCACTGACTGACTCAGTCACAGGCTGTTCTGTACTACTGTATCCTGAGCGACCATGTGTCTGTCACACTGCCAGGAAAGACACGCACACGCACACGCACACGCACACGCACACGCACACGCAGACAGGAAGATTTACAGACCCGAGCGAGGGTGTCAGTGGAAAGTGAGGGGTATAGACGGAGAGTAAAAAATGGTAAAGAGAGAGGAAGAAAAATATGGCGATAAGGTTTGAGACTAGCGTCTTTATAAGGCGAGTCAGCAAAGCGCATTTTAGGACTAAATATAGTTGGCTGCTGGCGGGTGTGTGCTGGGTGCGGCAGTTAGGTCATGGTGTGGGTGAGGGGTGGGGCGGCAGACTGAAGGAGGGGTGGAGGGCGTCGGTTTTTGGGGCCCACAGCTTCCTAGAGTGTGTCCCACACAGAGACATTATAGTACAGACTGTACATCAACTGTTAAAAAACTTTAACTATCAATGATGATGATAACATCCATCACAGCTTCTTCACTGCCACCTTTAAGTCAAATGCTCAACAAATAACCTCGAAACATGCCAACGTTCATGAAGTAAATTACAGCTTGGCTTCACAAAACACACATTTAAATCCCACCTCATAAATATGTCAACACACACATGTGGACACAATGTTTCTGTCTCTACTAATTCTAAAGTCAATAAACTAAATAAATCATTTCTTTATTGGAACCTCACAGTGGACGTGTCTGTCTCACAGTGTGGTCACTTTAGGTCATGAGGATGTCTGTGCACGTTTTTAAAGATCGACTCAACAGGCAACCCTCACCTTACTGCTCTTATGGTTGATACTAGTTCAGGTTTAGCAATGCACTCCTACTAACATCTTACTGTGACGTTCTCTTCCCCAGTTTAAGGTTTTATTTCATAATTTTAATGTAAATATTCAACAGCAGGCTACAGCACATCTTCCCCTCTACAGAGAAGGTCAATGGTTGCAAGCTAACATCTCCTCATGATGGGTGCACGGCCAGGACCCTGGAGGACAGTTGGGGGGGGGGGGGGGGGGGTCGTGCAGCTGGCAACCTTTTGGGTAGTGTGCGTCACTTTCTCAACACAAGTTTTTGAGATTTTGGAAATTAAGAAATTGAGCTTAAAAACCTTGTGGTGAAGATGGGATTTAAATATGTCAGTTCTAAATCGACTCTTACCATGGCAATGAAGCGTCCGATGAAGCGGAAGTATGTGAGGTGGTCGGGGTTGATGGAGGAGGCAGGGTTGATTTGCAGACAGTAGTTGTTCTTGCCGGCGTATTCGAACAGGCAGTACATGGGGTTCAGCACCTCGTGGGACAGCAGGAAGAACCACTCCCTGCACGGAGACAACAGAAGTGATTAATACAGGAGAGGAAGACGTCATACTAAGAGCCTGAGAGATGACATAAGGGATGTATGATATCATACGAGGATTCAATGTAAGCACTTGATCATTCCTTTACAATAAGGGACCATCTGAAAAATAGTCTTCTTCACAACAGGAAGTGGAAACAGTGTGAGCAGAGACAAAGTGATCTGAGGGACAATCAAAGGAAATCAAACACATTGTGTGGTAAATAAAGCTGAAAAAGAAGAGTGGACGAAATCACAATAAAGAAAGAAAAACACATTAAAGCAACAAATACAGACAGAACAAAAATCATAGAACATTTGAGACAGGGAGAGTTTTGTGATTTTGTTCCACAGCTGCTGCTAGAACACTAAGTTCCTTAAAGCCAGATGCATATTGCTCTTTCTGATCATGTTCAGATTTGTTTGAGACAAATAAAACATTCTTAAAATAAGTAACATTTTGAACTAATCAAGGATGGACAGCACAGAGTGGTTACAATCTTATAACATATTACTGTTTGTAAAAATGGATACCAAGCAAATAACTAACTTGTTTCTTACTACTAACCCTGGGTCCGGATTGTAAAAACAGCACAGAGGATTAAAGGAGCTGTGCTACCGGACCGGGATGCTGTGTATGCTGGTTGCCTACAAAAGAGAGCTACTGTACCATCATCAGCAAAGACACAACACACTCAGGACACAGTCTGTTTGTCCCCTACCATCTGGAAAACCCAGACTAACAGACTGAGGAACAGCTTCTCTCTCTGAGCTGTAGCAGGCTTTCTATGATTGTCTCGTTTGGATCAACCTTGCCAAATTCAAATCCATTTCTAGAAAGTTCTATCAACAGGAATATACAGAAAATGAACAAATGTGCACACAAACACAACTCTGACACATACGGTACTACATAAGACATAATGAATAACATGAAAGGATAAATACAAGAGGAAGAAAAAACAAAGGAAAACAGACAGACTTTGGATGGATGCATGTTAGAGAGAATGAGGGCCACCAGCAGCACCACCACCAGCTGCAGCACAAAACCAAGCACTCCCAAGGCCACCTTGCACTCCCCCTTGGGGTGTATGGGAGGGGATGTATGGACTGATTGACGGACGGACGCAGACACCTCCCAACATCCCGTCCGTGGTTCTACCCTGTGGTAGAACAGCATGATGTCACCTACCATAGGGTAAAACCACTGACGTGACACCGGAGACAGAGACACAATGCAAAACCAAACAGAAAAAAAATAAAATAAATGAGAACACCACCAACAGAAAAAATAACCACAAATTTAGAGAGGAGGATCCAGAGGACAGCGGAGACAGGGGGTGGATGTGATGGATGGGTGAAGTCAGGGGGTGAGGACAGGAAGAGGGGAGGAGGTGATTTCAGAGAGTGATACATATAGGAACATTGAGGGATTAACAGTAGGATGTCTGCTGCCAACCAGTGAGATTTAATCCTCACACACACACACACACACACAACAGATCACAGTCAGACACTTCCAGGAACAAGTTTATCAAGAGGGGAAACACAACACCCCTTCACCAACTTAAAAAAAAAAATCAGTGGGTTAAAAGATAGACCCAAAATAATGTAAAACACACAAAAAAGTGTGAGGAGAAAAGGTAAAGTTTGGTTGGTTGGCCTCACCTGGCGATCCCCGCCGTAGTCCAGCCCTTCCTCTCCTCTCATGATGATGTAGAGTCTGCGCCGAAGGTCGTAGGGCTTCACATTCATGATCTGATGGCAAAACAAAATCAATTGTTCACAACATTGTGGACTAGCACTTTGAGATTTGTTTTAAATGGAAAGGTTGTTACTAATGCATGATTAGATTTGACATTCATTACTTCCTGTGTTGTTTTAAATCAAGTTCAAAGATTCTGTGGCTGCTGGTATTTTTTTGTATGTGTGGTAATATGTGTTGTTTATCTGGTTATTTTAATGTTGTTTAACTGATGTGTGTTTTATTTTTTATTTGATGACATTCAGGGTGTGGAACAGATTTGTGTTTGCCGCATCTCTGACCTGCTGGAACGAGTCTTCAAACAGCGTCTGCCTGGACACAGAGATCTTGACGTGGCTGGGCAAGGCATTGGACTAGACAGGGAAGAAAGAAAACAAATCAATATTCTGAATTTAATATAAAGAATTGAGTATAAAAAATTACTTTAAACGCAGGAAAACACAGGTTTGAATCAGTAGGCCCTTCTGTAAAGCCTCGTAGAGCAGCACATGGACAGTCTGCTTGTTATCACAAATCTTTATATCAACACAATTTTTTTTTTTTTTTTAAGGTTTACTTCTGAGCTTTTCATGTCTTTATTTTAGAGATAGGACAGTGGATAGAATCAGAAATCTAGGAGAGAGAGAGAGTTGGGAATGACATGAATCAAGGAGCCACAGGTCGGATTCGAACCAGGGCCGTCCACTCTGAGGACTACAGCCTCGTGCAACAACCACTACACTACTGGACCCCGATATCACCTCTAATTTAAACCCAAATTCATGACAAAGATCCTGTGTTCCAGCTGTTCTCTTACTACAGACATATTTATGACACACAATCTCACTTTTTTCTAATTTATTTTAAGAGGGAATTAAAAGTCTCATAATCAGAATATCTGTGTCAACCAGCACAAATATGCTTCTATTCACTTCTCTGAGGTAGTGAATCCCTGTTCAGAGTGAGGCTGAATAACAGAAATCAGACTTAAATCTTACAACGGACTAAGCGGGTTCCATTGGTTTTGTTCAATATTCAATACACTCAAAATCAATATTGGGATCACAATGACTTTTGTTGAGAAAGAAAGTTTTGTTGGAGCTCCAGATTCCAGTTACACTTACATGGCATAGGAAACGGAACTGGTGGTATTTCCACCTGAAGCTGCGATCGTATGCGCCAGGTGAACCACCTTGCCGAGACCTGCGACCAAGAAAAGGGAGAGAAAGGAAACATTCTTAAACTGTCAGATTAACATCAGTGAACCTGCATAAACAAATAAACACATTCAAGAAATAAACAAAGTGACGGTGTTGGTGTCTCCTTTAACAACAACAACAACAACAACAGGTGTTCCGGGTCTCAAAGTGAGTTTTAAAAATCATATGACCCATAATGTTCTTAACAACGACTCAGTGTGTCTGGGTCTGAGAGACTGAGGTGAGTCCGAGCCTGCAGCTGTGTTAGTTTAAGCTCTGCTAACTGCGCACACACACACACACACACACACACACACACACACACACACACACACACACACACACACACACACACACACACACACACACACACACACACACACACACACACACACACACACACACACACACACACACACACACACACACACACACACACACACACACACACACACACACACACACACACACACACACACACACACACACACACACACACACACACACACACACACACACACACACGGGGGCAATGTGCTTTGTCAGCACTGCAGAGGCTGAGAAAAAGAGAGAAAGACAGACAGATAATGGGAGCAAGGAAGGAGAGAGAGAAAACGAAGGAGGCCTGTAATGTGTTGGGGTTTCAGCTCGCCAAGCTGCCAGTGAACATCTCGGTCGGGGTAAGGAAATGGAGACAACAGCGGCAGAGCACTGGCTACGGGCACACACACACACACACACTGCTGCAGGATTTAGATTAAAGACAATAGAGTGTCTCTCTGATGCCCTCCATGAACATCGGCCTAAAGACATGTTCAAATATCAGCATAAAAATGCAGCCTACAGATGCACTCACACACGAACAGGCACACACACACACAAGCACAAACACAAACTTTCATGCAGCACACAAGCACAAAGAGGCACAAACAGCAGCGGCAAAAGAAGCCCGTGCAGTCTGCAGAGGATCTGCTGTTGCACATCTGCACATTCTCCTGACTTTTGTGGTGAGATTCGAGACAGCTTCAGGGCAAAGCAAACATCCACAGGCTGGGGGGAGAGGTGTGTGTTAGTGTGTGTGTGTGTGTGTGTGTGTGTGTGTGTGTGTGTGTGTGTGTGTGTGTGTGTGTGCTGGCATGGACAACTTGAGGTGATAAAGTTAACTTTGTCTCTGCAAGAGCGGCATCCTTTAGCTGTTTAAATTACAAGCTATCAACTCTTAAGTTAATCATTAACTGTAAGACAAGCATATAACCTCTGAGATTTTTTATCCCACAAGTCAATCTTTGAGTTGTGGGATAAAGAAGACAATTCAAGACACCATCTTGGCTTCCTTGTAACACTAAAACACATTTTATTGACCATAAATCAGTACTAATAATATTGGGATTGATGAATAATTAAAATGATTGTTGGTATCAGCTCTCTCTGTGATGGCTGAGTTGATTCTTTGTGGTTCAAAGTAAAACTTTCTAAAAGGCAAAGTGATGAAAAGCAGTGTTTAAAAAAAAGGCTTCATAATGACGTAGAAAGAAAAGGATGATGAAGATGAAATAAAGATACAAGTTGGACCTATTTCATTCTCTTTTACAAAACAGCAGAACTGTTTAAATTAGTATTTGCAGTGCAGGAATGTCAGACCCAGCAGTAATGAGTTACTTTAGTTCTCTCTGTAGATTTTTCCATGACCCCGATAGAGATCATCTCCTCTGAATATTACTGCCTCAGCATTTTACAAACTTTTATTTCATTTCTATAAGAAGCAACTTTGCGAGGAAGGGCTGAGAAAATATTTACCCTGACTCAAACCCGGGGCGGGGGTCTTTAAAGGTGGTGGTGCGCGAGTTGTGGTCCACAAAATATCGGACTCCCTCGGCGGTGTACTTCATCTCCCAGCCCGGTGGCAGGGGGTGCTCCTTGATCATCCTGCAACAGGGAGAGGGCAGTGAGCACGGTCCCAGCCGGAGGAGCCCCATCCTGGGGGATGAAACTAACACACCTCCCCTGCCAACCTTTGGATCTAAAGCCCACGACTCTAAAGCAAACCTCACAATCATTGTGTTTAACTAAAGTCAAGAGGGACTTCATTACAGTAGGAGAGGCCCGGAGAAAAATCATCTTTCATTATAAGAGAAGGGAACATTTTGATTGGGCCAAAAATGACTCCACCCCAGCAGTAGTTTGTATTTCTCATGATTTCTTACTGTGCTCTAGTCAAAGAGAATCAGTTTGTGTGCTTAAAGAACGGCCAGATATCTTTGACAAACCCAGAAGCTCATTTAACAACACTTTCTGCTGTTCAGAAGAAACTTCCAGCATTTTCTGAGACTCTCCTTAAAGTACAATTATTCAATTTGTTGATCATCCCAAAAGACTTTTAAAAATATTTTACAGTTTGCTTTCAAGTTGAACTGACAGAAGTTTTTTTATTCCCAAGAAAAAAAAACAGTGGTATTGTTTTCTGAACATGATCACAATCAAAGAAATTTAGAATTTTTTTTTTAAATTTTGACTCAGGTCCTTATTAGCGACATTAGTTTGTTTGGAAACCGCTTAAAAACCCTTTATGGTCAGATCACTACAAGAGTCTGAAGATTCTGGAAATATCTTCTCAGCAACAATAAGTGTTGTAACAAAACGTTTGAGAACTGTCAAAGGCCGCTTTAACAACCATCTCACATCTCCAGCTCATTACATGGTGGCATAAAGAGCAGAAGATGTTCCTTAGAAAAGTACTGAGGATTTGAATCTTTGATGTGTGAAATGTAATAGTTCAGAGGTTAAAAGGTTCAATCAGGATGAATGAGGTGAGAGGAAAGATTTCTGGAAGAGCTGAAAAAGGGTTTCAATGTCAAAGAAAAGGGAGCGATTCTAGAAAAGTGATCAAATGAAGAGCAGGTTGAAGAGAACATTTTTAAATTGATCATTGGGTTATTAAGAATAGAAGGGAGTTAGGAAGGCTACGCTTATATCTGGAGGGCTAGATCAGTCAGTATGCAAAACAAATTCTGACATTTTCCAGATTCTGCTGCATTGCCCCATGAGAATGTTTCAAATGTTTCTTCTTTTGATTTCCATGATATCCCAAGACGTCCCTAATCAGTGGGAAACTCATAAATCAAACTAAAGATGAACACCTCTTTCATCGTTCTATGATGATTTAAACCTTCTTCACTACAAGCAAACACCCAAAGCGCCATGCAAACACACAAACACGCACGTAGGGACACAAACACACATTGGAGCGTGAGAGCTTTCTGGCGTTCATAGTCTCACCCTTGGGTCCGAGGATCGTCCCACTGTGTTGTCCGTGTGTTGTGGTTGACAAAGTACACTCTGCCATTGTCCTGACGCTTCTCTGTGGACACAAAAGAGCAAACGGTGCAAGAAGAGAGAGTTAGGGATGTTGGGAAGTTTTTTAAACTGACTAACAAAAAAAAAGAAACAAATACAGGTCAACCGATTTGGGAAGACTGATGCAGATACTGATTTCTGAAAAATAAACTCATCAGCAATATAGCAGTTACTACACGTCATTTTCAAATTAGAACAGAAATTGAGCTTTTCTGATGTGGACTGAGCACCAATGTTGCAGCAAAATGACTTTGCAACGCAGTCTGAAGGCTGCATTTTTTACAACTGGAAAGTACATTTTAAACCAACTACAGCATCATCAGCTGTGATGCTCTGTTACATGTGAGACAGATGGTGATGAGAGTGTTGTAAACCAGACTCGGAGCTTGCTACAGTGGGGAAAAAAAAAAACTCTGTGATGACACCATTCCTCAAGTACTGTTTTCTGCATTGCATGTTTTACTTCTATAATGTGCATGGCTGCAAATCAAAAACATAGATAAATGAACAGCCATACTACAGATATATATCGGGCAGGTTCCTGATAAATCGTCCGGGGTCACAGGGACAAACTGAGTGTCCCTCTCTGTTGGCATGAGGACAAAAAAATATCTCACCCTCATACTAGAAAACCAGTGAGAGTGTGTGATATTTCACTGTGGCCTGATCTGAATGCCTCACCAGGGTAAACCCAAGTGTGCTTGTGAGTGTGCCGGGGGGTGTTTGAAAGTCAAAGTACGGCCTCAGCACAGGGCTAAGATCTTATATTTGACTTTAAAATGAAGCAAAGTTTATAGCTTCATTGGAGGAACCTTAAACGGCGAATAAGATTTTATGGTAGTGTGTAAAAAGTGTGTGTGTGTGTGTGTGTGTACGGCGAGTCACTGGTCTCATGAGAGAGTAGCTGGTGCCCCATCCTCCTCCTCCCCACTCCGCCGCTCAGACATCTTTTTCTCATTAACAGGAGTGTGTGGAGGGCCCAGAAACAGTAGTGCTCACATTGCAACTCTAGCTTTCTCCTCAACTCAATCCACCCCCCACTTTACTATCCAGTCTGATCCCCCACCGCCTCCTTTTACCAGTTTCTTCAATTCACCACTGTCTCTGTTTTTTTGTTTTTTTTATCTGCTGCATCTTTCCCTCTTTCTTCCCATCTTTCTCTTTTTGAATCTGAGCCTTAAAAAAAAAAAAGAGAGAGAGACGGAGGGAAGTGACCGCAGATGAAAAAAAGAGCGCCAGAGAAGCGAATGTGAGCCAGTGATATAATTGAGGTTTTTGGGTCTTGAGGTACCGCAGCATGTTGAAAAGGCATCATGGGCAGAGGGAGTAGAGGTTTTTTTTTTTTTTTTTGGAGAGAACATGGCTGTGTGATGAAGTCTGTGAAAATGTTGGAGAGACAGGATCTGCCAGCAGTGTTCCTTTATGAATGAATGAATAAATGTGTGAGACACGATTCTGTGTAGATCCGATTACAATGCTCAACTGGGAAAATGTTGAATTATAAAGAGTCCCACTGGTAACAATGTGGCCTCTGTAATTATGGGACTTTAAAGTGAAATGAATCCAAACAGTGATGAATTAATAGAAACAACAGACATGAATCAAATAGACATTTTACCGAGATTTTAAATCAATCAATTCAAACCAAGCCAACCAAGGCACTGGAGCAAGAAACAAAAAGCCACAGGAGCAGGATTTTTGTGATGTTGCCGAATGCTCCAAATAAGTAACAAAAAAAAAAAAAAAAAGTGCACAGTTGAGTGAGGAGAGAAAATACTCCCTCCCTCAACACTGAGGTTAGAAATAAAGAACTAATTTTGAAGGCAAGTGACTGATTCAAGTCACCAGGGTTTATATCCTGAGCAGCTGCATTGTCTTACTGTTGGATGAACTTTGACAAGTCTTGTGAGGATTTGAGGGTTTTGACCAAGGAGAAGTCCAGTCATTATTAACTGAAACCACTTCAACACCTCTAGAAGGTACAGACAACTTTCAGACTGAACAAAATCTTACTGTTAGACAGAAGCCAAACATTGAGACTATTCACGAACCGTTCAGCACCCCTCACTGAGATTATGTATGCCTGGAGTGTATGTTCAACGAGTGTGTGCAAACTTACCCCATCCAGGAGGCATTGAGCCCAGAGGATCATTTTCCACCGGTGCACCAGACGGCTGAGGGAGAAACAGAGAGAAAAAGACAATTCCAGTTAGGACACCTTTCTGTTGCTCTCTTCTCTTCACAGTTTTTCTCTCAGTGTTTGTCCTCGTTAAACGGCACAGCGGGAAATTCTTGTCCACTTGGTTTCTCACCGACAAATGAAGAAGAGGGCTCAGCAAAGGATGCAGAAAAAAAAATCCTCCAAAACACAGAGAGGAGATGTGAAATTAAAAAAAAAAAAAAAAAAGGCTAGTAAAACTCACTAATTAAAGCAAACTTGGCGAGTCAGGTGTTTGCTTGATCCCCCTGACTGATGGAAGCAGTGAGTAAGGCAGGCTGGATGAAGTGTAAATGTGTACGGAGGGCAGAAATGGGTGGGGGGTGGCTCCTCTCTGCTGCAGCGGTGAGGGGCGACTGAGGGAGCAGGCTGGCTGGTGGCTCGTATGCCTTCCAAAAACTACACGCTCGGTAGGAGGATAAAACAACAACGCTGTTCCAATGAGCTCACTGGCTGGACGCAAGCCCCACCCCACCGGCTTCCCGCTCACCTCCTCAGACACACCCCACCCCAACCCCCACCTCCACCTCCTCCTCCTCCTCCTCCTCCTCTTCCTCCTCCTCCTCCTCCTCATCCACCTCCACCCTGGCACCCCTCTCTACCCCACCCTGAGGTCCTCCTCCTTCTCTTTTCTCGTGCTCTCTTCTAGTTCGGCTGTGAAAGTAGGCAGGGAAGTGCGATGTCTGAGGGAACTGAGGGAACATTCATGCTCGTTCCAGACTGGACACCCCCGCCCCACCCACCCCGCCTCCTCTCCGGCCGCCCCAACCCACCCCAGGCCTGACAAAAGGCACCTTTATTCACCCTGGGCCTAGAAACCACTGTGGGGTTTACTCAGCCTGCACTCATATACATACATTGAAAAAAGAACGTGTGTGTGTGTGTTGGGATGTGGAAAGTTTGTCTGTAGCAAACAGTCCATGTGTACGTTCTTATGCTCGAACACACACACACACACATAAATATATTAGCTTGAGTGGAAAAGTAGCTGAAAAGACGCTTGTTAGGAATTAGTGGCCACAGATGGATGTTCATCAAACAGGCCAGTGTGTGTGTGTGTGTGTGTGTGTGTGTGTGTGAGTCACAAACAACTTCTAAATCATTAACTGCCCCACCAAGCGGAGCTCTAATGACAGCATGGACCCTGGTTAATGTTGTAGGGATGCTGAAAATAAAGGTGGACACTGGACTGGGCCATGAAACGATCTCAGTAGATGAGCAGGAACATTTATGTTAATATTTTCATTAACTTTGGACATGGAAAATCATAAAGCCTTTCACACAACTTTTTGGTGCTTGATAGTGAAGTACAAGCCAAAGTCCACCAGACTTAAGCATTGTTAATGTCCTCTGTAAAACACAAGCACAAAAAACAAACACTGGTACGGTCGGGGTAACAAAATGACAGTTAAAGTGAGCTCTCATTATCCGCCATAACTGGAAACATTAAGTCAAGCATATGGATGCAGATCACAACAAGACTAGCGGCGCAAACACACTCCACTGTGTCCGCTGAAGAGCATTAGAGAAACTCAGATTTCTATCAGAAACTGCTTAATTTGGTGTTTTCTATGGTTATAGGACTGGGTCTGTTTGTTCTGGAGAGGAGGAGACCTCTGTGGTTAATTCAGCTCCCGATAAAACCTAGTGAACATAAACACTGAAGGAATTCTGAAGTAAAAACAAGCTGAGCTCTGACAAACTAGCGGAGCTGATGGTCCAGCCTCTAGTGGGCACACTGTGCGATTTAAAAACTTAATCAATTAGAAAAACGGTCAAACATCAACTTTACATTAAGACATTCCCTAAAGAAAAGACAAAAAAATGCTTGTTTGGGCCATTCCTTTATATTAATTGTCCTGATATGGTAGCACATGTAGCACGTGTTGTCCTTTTTTTTCCGCTTAACTAAGCTGTTAATAAAAACTACAAAAACGATTAACTCACTAAAAGCTGGCAGATCTTTAAGGATTATTCTTTCTTCACAGAGGCGCTATAAAGTAGAGCATTATCCACTGAAGGCCAACGTCACTTTACACAGCATTTCCCAAAAAGAAAAGTGACTGTGCCCATTTAAAACGACTCTGTCATGGAAACTGTGAGAAAGTGGCGATGGAAAAGACTGGGGCCCACTGGTGGAGTGAGAGTGGGCACACAACAGGGTTAAAGGGTGTGTGTGTGTGTGTGTGTGTGTGTGTGTGTGTGTGTGTGTGTGTGTGTGTGTGTGTGTGTGTGTGTGTGTGTGTGTGTGTGTGTGTGTGTGTGTCAATTCCATCGACAGCCAATCTATGCACCGCTGCCCCACCCTTATGGGTTTTCTGTGACTAAAAAAGGTAAAAGGAGAATATAATGATATAAAGACATGATGACTTCATCCTGGCTCTGACCATTCAGCTCCTCAGCAGCTTCCAGACAGAGCCAGCAGGCTGGAGGGAGGAAAAGAAAGAGAGACTGAGAAAACAAGAGAGGGAGAGAGGAAGAGAGGGAAAAGCAGCATGTTGGCAGAGACGTGTGAAATAATGGCTCTGTGTCATGCATCTGGATAGATTAAAAAAAAATAATAATAATTTCAAGCCCACGCAGCACAGGTGACAATGGCGTTTTCAGCTAGTGGCATTCAACATGTTACAACCCTTTTATGTGCTTTTTCAGACACACAAACCTGTTATTAATCTAGTTAAACTATTCGTACATAAAACTGTTTCATTGCATTTCGCTAATAAAAACACTTGTTCTCCACATCTACAAGGAGAAACATCGGTGTGCACAAAGTGTGAAAGTGGCTGAGAATCCAGAAAACTGGAGTTCGGTGAGTTCAGTAAACACTTTACAAACAAGCAGCTTCATCTGGCTGTTCAGCTAGATTTAGCCAAACTGTTGCTATTTAGACAAACTCATTCTCTTGTTTCTTATTTTATATTCAGAGATGTTCATCTACCCGGTGTTCCTCCCAAATGTCTTTTTTTTAACTGCTACAGTATATTCACAACTAAATAGTTGTCTTTAAATTTGCCACTGACATCAATATTACAGAATATTTGTGTGCACATTATAAGAAAGACTTATTTCTGACCTGTTGGCCAATCCAAATATCAGTGCAAATATCTTGCAGAAGAATATTTAGAGCAGGCATTAAAAACAGGGAAGATTGATGAAATGTATTCCAAAAATGATGACAGGCACAAACCTCCAATTATGGAGTCAGGTTTTAAAGGTCACATCTTTTTAAACAAATCTAAATAAGTCTCAAAGCTCCCCAAAACATGATCTGATCCTGTTCTTTATCATGCCAATAGACCCCTCTATTTCAGTCCTGCTCAGAACAGGCTGTTTCTGTGTCTGTAGCTTTAAAAACAAATGAGCTGTGTCTGACCACGCCCCTCTCTGGAAGGGCTTTGGTGGCTCCGGCTTTCTCACGTCATGCACTATTGTTGACTGTAACACTGTGTTCTAACAGCACGCAAGCGTTATATATCGCGTCGTAGGCGCATGGTCGCACGCTGGCTGTCCACACTGCATCCGTTACATATACAGTACAATTCTGTGCTCTGTGAATTTCAGTTTCCCCTTGTAGTATGACATCTAGTGCTTTTGTATTGAAGGTGGACAAACTTAACAGTCAGAGGCTCATCAGTTAACAGCTCACAGTGAGCCAGAAAAAGTCTTTCTCCGGTGTTGTTGACACAGGTCAAAGCTCAACATTTCAATCGAGGGTGTGGACATTATATATGCACAGTTATCTCCACATTGTAAAACCAGCTAACAAACTCAGTCGAGTAAGAAAACTGAGTGTCAGTGCCTTGTAGAGCCGAAGAGGAGAATAGAAACGGAGCGTCCGGGTAAAAACGTTGCTTGTGGACAGTTGGGACACTCTCATTGGTAACAATAGAATCAGGCTGGTTTTGTCGCTGACGCTCGCATGCTCTCAGAGAAGCCACAGAGGTCAGGATTAAGGGTGCCCCTTAAACTGGATACACCAGTAATCCAAAATCATTGTGTGTTCATTTGTGCTTTAAAGTGTAATTGCTGTGAAACAACTCTAATCACGCCAACTCACTGATTTATTCTAGCTAACTCTGCTCCCTCTCAAGTTAAATCCTATCCCCAAATAGAAGCAGCTCCACTTTAGTTCAAACATACATCTGTTCATTGTCCTTTCATGGTATTAAGCACTTACAAAAGTGCTTTTAGGAAACACGAGCACCGACAAACTGTGTTCAAACATTACTGAACGTGACATTCAGCCGTGTGGATGTGTGTGAGTTTTCTGTTCAGTGAGTGCAAGTGATGAAACACAGGGCTCGATTCAGGTGCTGCTGTTAAGGGTCCTTGTTGCAGCGAGAATGAACAGAGATGGAGAGAGGAGGAAGGAAGAAGGGGGCAATTGAGAGAAGTTCTGATCTGAGAGCAGACGACGAGGGGAGGTAAAAACAGGAAAAAAAAGAGGGTAAGAAGGATATTTTCAGTGCAGTGCAAAAAAAGGGGGATTTTGAGAATGAAAAAAAAAGGGTTGGGGGATTTTGGAGAGATGACAGATAGATGGAGAGAATGGGTGGGTGGGGTTACAATAAAGAACAGAGGTAAAGAAGAAAAAGACAGTTTAAAGTGAAAATAAGTGGGAGATTGGGGAGAGCCGGAAACAGTAGTTAATGACTCTGAGGCTGTTCTCTCTGGGGTCCTAACAAGCTGCAATTACTCTGCAAACACATCCACACACACACACAACACATCCACACAAACATGGATGTAAACTCCTTGGTTTTGGTGTTATAAGTTTGAAAAGACAACACTTTGCACAGTGCAAATAGTTGCATGTGTGTTTCTGTTTTTATATACATGCAGGCAGGCATCGCTTCAGAGGGGGCACGGTCCGGTCTGCGTCAAAGATGATGATCCCCTTCACCTTCTTTGGTCGTCATGTGCTATAGTAAAGAAATGTGGCACCTGGACTCAACATTACAGCTCCATGAACACATCTGCTCAAACCCCACACATGCGCGCACACGCACACGCACTCGCACACACACAAGGAGCATGTGATTTACTGTAGCAGGGTGTTTCCTGCATTCAAAACTTGAAGGCGGCCACCTCTGCCTAATTTCATACCGCCACCAGCCCTGGTCAAAGTCTGACAGGGGTTTTCATGAAGAACACAGTTTTCCAAGTAAAGCATCTGCTGATTCTGTCATTTCTAAATGCAATAACTGCTGCATGCGGATATGGTGGCGGCGCTGTAGCATAATCAATCCAGTGCAAGGAAGATGTTAAAAGTTTTCCGCTAGAGCATTTGTGCGTGTGTTTTGCTATGCTGCTGTAAAGGTTTGTCCTACACAAAAATCCAACTACCACTAAATTGTCCCTATCAATGATTTATTTATTTATTTATGAACACCTACACGGATCTTCAATTGTGCATTAAGCTTCCGATTGTTCATGTAAGAAAGCTGTGACTGTTACAGACTCCAGACTTAACTGATGAACTTGAGAGTCAGACGGAGTAACACTAGACCTCATCATTATATGTGCCGTTTCCGTTTTGCGTCTGCACTTCAGTCTCTACGTCTCTACCAACTGAGCCACAGCCGCCCCACAAATATGATAAAATCTGTCTAATTTATAATCCTGTAAATTGAGAAAACAGCTGAGGCGTGTCTTTCATGTTCATCATCAGACTCCATGTTAAATTTAGCACTTTAAATCTACTAGAATCTGACATTTGATATCAATGCAGGAAGTGCCAAATTGGTGCACAAAAATACAACAGAATACAAGAATAACAGCGTTTGATGCTCCAAATGACCAGGTGTAGCCCCCTAGTCATGATTTAATTCATCATCTTTGCTCAAACTGGGGAAATAATCACATTCACTTTTATGTTGTAATGATTTTCATTTTAAACAGGGCACATTAAATGGTATAATAAATTAGGTTTCAATCTGAAATTTTTCCTTTCTCAATTACACAATTATTAGAAATCATAATGTTGTTTGAGTCAGTGTTGAGTCAGTGCGCATTGTAAACGTGAACATGTATGAGGTAGGAAAGGTAGCACCACTACCAGGAAACCCCATGTAGAGACCTACACACATATCAGCACACACAGTGACACATACACATATATAGTCTTTGGCTGGCCCATAATAGTCGACCAGATGTTAGTCGACGAAGAGTCGTAGGCAAACAAGTTCTCATTGGTCGGTTAAACACACAAAGATACTACCCTCTGGATAACATGTCCATGCGACTCAATTGAGCGGAATTGTTATGGGAAGCAAATCTCTACTGTGAATCAGTAAAGAAAACTTCCATGATGTCAACAGACAAGTGACGATGTTAAGTAGCAGCAGTCAGCAGAAAGTGTCCAGATAAGCTCATGTTCAGGTGAAGCAGCTGTGACACATACCTGCTGTTAGTCACTAACAGGAGGTTTGTTGAATACATTCAACTTAACAATGTATATTGAAAGTCTAACTTACTAGTGTACATTCTTTTCAGCCCTCAATTCAGAAGTCTCTTGCAACAAAAATTGGATTTAGATCACTGAATCAATGACACATGCGTGTGACAAAATGTTGAAAAAATGCGCTGGAGCTAGAGAAGTTAAAAAGTAATTGTTCAAAAGACATCTTTTAGCGATTCCTCAGTTACAGCCCATCCACACAGTGATATTTTCAGTCAGGCAGCAGAACAAGCGGCAGAGTTTTCAGTTAAACTATGAGCTCTTCTGAGTGTATTTCCTTGTTCACACACACTGAAGCCATAAATAGTTGCTGCTATCAGCAGAGTGGGCATTCCAAGACAGACCAGTGTACTATCAACATGCAGGGCAGACCTGCCTATTGGCTTTTCTCACACACACTGATCGAAAGGAAAGAGGGAGGGAGAGAGAGAGGGGACCAGGGCTGAGGAGAAGAAGGGAAGGAGGTGACGATCTCAACATCAAAATGCTTAAAGGAAGAATTTGTCAGCTTTGGTACTTCAGAATCAAAATCAGAATCAGGGTTTATTGCCAAGAACATTTACACATACAAGGAATTTGACTTGGTGTATTGGTGCTAAACAATAAACAAGGAATCACTTCATAATCTACATCCTAATACTGAGGCATCCTGATTCATGTAATCTGTTCCTTTCTTTTCCTACGATACCATCTCTGTATCATTAACAACCTGTGTGCTATATTCAACAAAATAAAACACTACTACCAAGGTCCAAAAAGATAAATGTCCAAGAGCTGTTGTAGATGCCAGCAGACAATAAATCAGTAAAAAGTTAGCAGCTATGCCCCTTTGCTTTTCACACGTTGCGTTCAACTCTTAACAAAAGACTACTGTTCCTTTCCTTACAATTCAAAACGCCAGATTTTTGCTCAAAGCCTAATCAAAATTTAAAACTAAACTAAAATTAAAACTTTAACATGTAGACAGATATACTGTTATCACTGACTCATAGTGTAAAAGGAGAAATACTCTGATTTACAGATTTTCAACCTGTTTTAAAACCTAAGGAACAAAGCCACTCTAACCTTTGGTCTGTGAGCCGCCTTTTCTGTCGCCTCAAGTTTTGAGCCAGAAGTGACCTGATTTATATGAGAGCATAATGGAAGTAGCCAGGGATTGGAAAACAACACCTTATAAAAGTTATACTGTTTGTGACTGTGGCTTATTGTCAAGGTGGCAAATGTAGCCTGGAAGACGACCGGCCATTTATTTATTAGACTAAAACGCTCAGAGAGCTTCAGGAACATGGCAGAAGTGCCACTTGCCATCATCTCCAGTAAGACAGCTAGGGGCGGGTGATCTTCTTTGAGATCTAAAGCCAACAACTATTGTGACACCGATGCACTAGTTCCCACAAATAAATCAATGTATGACAAACACTGAATGAGCAAACAATATGGGTATGGTAAATGCAGACACAAGCTTTTCAGACGGCTCTTTTTCGCTTAGTGCCGTAACTAAGCTCAGCCATCATTACGTCTACATTCATAATGATTGTGTGACAGCATAATATTCTCGTCCCAGTTTGTGAATTCCCATTACCCGCCACAGTGAGAGCTCCACATACACACACAGTCAGACATGTACACACACACAGCGCTGCACTCCCCCGCTGGCTCAGCTGATCCTGTCTCACCTCTGTATCACCTCTGCTTAGTGCTATGCATTGAGCTTCACTTTCAATTACAACCTGCGATAATCGATATTTAACAATTACTGTGCTGCGTGATGTCTTGCGCCCGTTTTGTCCATAGTTTTTGTCATGTTTGGTAATTGTTTCAAAGAGTTGGTTGTTACTATTTGGTCATAAGAGCACACCACCACTGCCTCAAAAACATAGTTAATTTATTTTTATTAATTATATTTATATATTACATCATAATATATTTGCACATTTTTAAATTACTTGTTTTCATTAATTTCTTGTTCTTCAAAGTGTTCAGAATGTTAAAGAGTTATGAGTGTTTATGATAAATGCATGTGATGCAGATGTTGTAACATCAATGACTAATCTTGTTTGAACCCTCCCGCCCACCAAGCTCTGCCAATGAAAGGCGTCTGATCCAACCTTCACAACAGGGTCCTAAGACGCTGACTCGACTCTTCTCCTCTGTCGCCCCCCGGTGGTGGAATGAACTTCCAAACTCCATTTGATCTGCAGAGTCCCTCTGCACCTTTAAGAAAAAGCTTAAGACCCAGCTCTTTTATGAACACCTACTAACTTAATGATGATGGTCTCCATATTATTGATGATGATGATGGTAGTGACGATTGTTTTTGTTTGATAACGATGACTTATAAAATAGTTTCTATACTGATTAGAGCTCTCAAGAACTGCTGTCAATGTTGTGCAATGCCTGTCAGCACCTGTGTGTCCAATCTTACTGACATTGTTCCTTTTTTTCTAGATCCTTGCTTGTGTTGTACTTACTCTCTGATGTACATCACTTTGGATAAAAGCGTCTGCTAAGTGAATTGTAGAATAATCGTGGTCTCTCCCTTCTCAATGAAAATAATCGTGATTATGTTTTTTGCCAAAATCGAGCAGGCCTACCTGTTTTACTACCTTCAAAGAGGGTATAGAGGGTGGATCACCCCCATTATGGCTACACAACATTGAAGGCGAAACGTCACAGGGGCGTAAATATAGCGGCTTCAAACAGCAGCACAAAATCACCTACAAAGTGAAATATGCAGGGTGGTTTGTTTTTATAGAAGCATATAAGAGTTTGAAGGCAGGTTTTATAAACGGCCCTTTGACAAAGCTCTGTTGTTTAGTCCAATAAGTCTTTACTGTCTGGTTGCAGCTTGACCTTGACTGCTCCGCTGAGAGGACAGTGACTGTCACATACCAAACCTCCACAAATTCCACTGGAAAAATACTGTTAAACACTAAACATGTCAGAAACACATCCTTTAATACTGCAACCGTCCTCTCACTGCACCGTGGAGTTGTGAGGACGACGTGCGATTCTAAACCAAGATCCATAAAAACTTTTTCAGGAAATGTATTGCACTTTTCAGTCTCACTGATGACAGTATTAGCAAAAAATATCCTTAAACAGTTTGTTTAACCTAAAAGGAGGAATTTTTTTTTTTTTACAATGTCGGTTGGCAACTAGTATTTAAGGCACATTAGCGTTGATACAGAGCTACTGATGATGTCTGCACCACATGTAAAACATCACAAGCAAATCTCCTTCAAATCAATTCCCTTGTTGTTCTTGAGTTAACATGTTTACTTTGCATTTGGTTGCACAAAATGTGTTTTTTACGGGTTAGAAGGGACAAACCAACAAGACCAATTGATGCCTTCTCATATATACCTCAGAAGGGAGTCTTATCCCCTGTATACTAGCACCTTGTGTGAAAACAAACTGGGCCGTTGAAGGCATGGAGTACCTGGTAGAGGAAGCGCTGGCTGAACTGGTGCATTGCGCCCTGCAGCTGACTACGCTGGCTCTGCCACTGCTGGTAGTTTCGCACAGACTCGGCTGTGGGCCTCTGCCATGTGGTGGTTCTGGTGTTGTGGTCCACGTAATAGAACCTGCCCCGCTGGTCCACTCGTTTCTCCCAGCTGGATGGGGGACAGAAAGGGAGTGGAAAAGTGAGAGGAGCTTTGCCTTTAACAACATCTTTATTAAGCATGTTCAGGGTGGGTGGTTGCGTTAAAAAATCTGCGTAGATAGTAACTCATTTATAGTGGCAAGGAAACAGAAACAAAGGCAAGAAAAGGAAAGAAAACAGTCAGAGGAGGGAGTCGGGGGGGGAGGAGGAAAAAGGGAAAGAGGGGAAAACCTGTGCATGTATTAGAACAGTTCCTATAACTGCAGATGATATGGTCATTGTCCCCCTAATTCACCAGAAAGTAAGCTTTCAAGGGATAGCAGAAAGATGTGGCACATTCACATGACAGGCCCCTGGATCTATTTTTGTCTTGGGGAGATTATGATGAGTTTGTCTCAAACCTCAAACTCCATTCAACTGTTTATTCACTTTAAAAACAAAGCCGGTATTTAAGGCTGATGACGAGGGAAAACAATGGGACACATCATTAGTCTGAGTGACAATAACCATGAGTGGTGTGTGTTTGTGTCAGGGCACTGCCAGAGGTATTACTCAGAGGTCTATGTTTATCCTGTCTTTCCCCTGAGACAGGGGGTCTGGACATGGACTGAGATAGACGTGCACACACACAGACCAGTCTTCTGGGCTCAGCAGGACTCACTTCAGCTCTGCTCCTATTCTCATATCTGTGACTTAAGCACTACAGAATTTCAGAAAAGAACCCACCAGCCACTTCCGTCTGCTACCAAAAAAACAGTACGGAAATACTCAAAGACGTGGAGATGCACGCACGCACGCACGCACGCACGCACGCACGCACGCACGCACGCACGCACGCACGCAAGTTGTCAAGCAGTCTGTTATCCATTGTGCTCAGGATGGTAAATGGACTTGAGCTTGTATAGCGCTTTTCTAGTCTTCTGACTGTCAAAGCGTTCTGGTTCTTCTGGTTGAGAGAGGAGCGACTCTACCCACTGAGCCACAGGATGATAGGGAGACAAGTTTCAGTGTACTTCAATCAGTTAAAATCTCTATAGAACTCTTCATCATAAATTTCCCAATGGTCTGCGGCACCGGTAGCCTAATGGTTAGTGTCCGCTCCCGATGTAAGGAGGCTGTAGTCCTCCAAGCTGGCAGCCCGGGTTCAAGACAGTGTGCAGCAGGCTTGTCTTATTTATCACACTTGTGTTGTACCCAAACAAATGATTCTAAGTCACATGCATTCAATGTGTATTAAGTGTTAAGGAGAAGAAGAGGGTATTATGAAGAGAGTTAGCCTGTTTAGTCATCCTTCCATGGTGAACACATAATATACATCTTGTGCTGTATCATGAAGATTGTAATAAAATGAATCCCCATTTATTTTGGATCTTTTGGTTTATTCAAAGAAAACAGCACATGCAGGTACTCAGGTGTTACTCTCTGAGCCTGAGGGACATAACCATGTGTCCAGACATCTCCAACCAATCATTGAGGAGAATTGGGTCTACCAAACCAGTATATAACGAGGCCTTTCTGGTAGTAGTGTTAAGGTGGATATTTTCAAATGGTACTGTAGTAAGATGACAGCTGTGATTTCATTATTAATGTGTTTAGTAACTAAAGGACACCAATTAAAAGTAGCAGCTCTGTTACTATGAGCAACATAATGCAACTTAATCACGTCCTCAAATAGGTTTAAGAAAAGTGAGCTACATCATGTTCTTGTTCATGTTTAAGCTTTAAATAAACACTTTAGTACAAACCTTGTTTGTTTTTAAAGCACTCTATAAATAAAGCTGACTTTGACTGTGTATATAAATATGCTGTTAATTGTATTTCTAGAGTCTAAAATTCCTCTTTGCTGTAGTTCTTTAAGTAAGGGGGGGCATAAAAAGCTTTTGGTGTCTCCTGTGAAGGTCGGGCCCACATGGTCTCCATCACCATCCTGAAGGTTTGAGTTCAGAAACAACAGTAAACTAGATTATCTCATGGTACTTTGTTGTCTTCTGAAGGAAAAGGCGCTTCTCTAATGTGGTTAAGAAGTCAGGCTCAGATCCACAACAGCACCGCAGGAGCTGGTCATGGGCCTCAAAGACACTTCAGTACCGTGGATGATAGAGAACACAGGGAGTTATTCAGATGAGGGATAGTCTCTGAGCAGTCTGAGGTTCCTTTAGAAAGCAGGAAAAAAAAGTTCCCTCTCTGATATTAGCACTAGCCAGTTATTTACTGGAGCCAGAGAAAATGCCAAAGCCTTCGGTGGCGTGCCTGAGAGCCTCTTCTTGGTTCTGCATTCTGACTTTACATCATCCTACCAGTCATGTTAATGACTATCTGTTCCATGTGTTTCTTCACTTTAGTCTGCTTACGATGAACTTGTTAAAAGATTCATACAGGACATCTTTGAGCTCAACTCATTAATTATCAGCTATCACTCTGACTTCCAATCATCTGTCTCTCTAAATTTCTAAGGAGAGAGAATTAATTTGTGTTGACCAAATGAAGCTGCTGTAACTTTAGTTTAAGTGTCTGTAACACTGTTAGATTTACTTTAACTTACAATTAAGACAAAGAACAATATTAAAGCAAAGAAGAGCACCATTACATCATACAAATTCATAATTGGACATTTCATAGTATATTTCAGGGACGTGATTTACAAATATTCTCATTATAGCATCAAATCTGTTGCTTCATTTGTTACTTTTTTGTACGCCACGTCCTAACCTCGGGAAATCCCCCCTCCTGTCTGACAGAGATAGTCTCCGGCTGTGAGGAGTTGATGCAGTTCTCCTCAACTCATCTAGATATTTTCAGGAGTGCATATATGAAAATGCCACGTGAGAATCTGTAAATGTAAACGGACTTGAGCTTGTATAGCACTTCTCTAGTCTTCTGACAACTCAAAGCACTTTTACACAACAGGAGGTCACACCTACACATCCACACCCATTCTCACACTGATGACAGAGGCAATGTAAAGTGTCCATCAGTATTAACCACTCCCATTCATATACATCCACATGCTGCCAACAAATAAGCGGGAGCGACATCGGGTCAAGTGTCTTGCCCAAGGACACATCATCTGGTGCTGGGGAAAGAACCCCCAACCTTGCGGATGAGAGACGACCGACCCTTCCACTGAGCCACAGCCACAACTGCACTGCAATCTCAATCCAATAAATAAATCACTCAAAGGAAAACACTGTCGTCAACTAGCTAATCAGTCAGCTCATTAAGTAGCACTGGGCTCTGACTGTATACATGTCTAAATTCAATAACCTTATGTTTGCTCACAAATGGCGCCTTTCCATAGTCTTGTATAATAATGGTCAATCTTGGCTCCAAAAAGCCGAACTGGAGGCCTTAAAACAACAGTCTGCCAACCAATAAGTGATCTCACAATTTTAAGGTTCACTTCTTACATACACACACACATACAAAGAGAACTACTCAGAAACAGTCACTTTACCACACATTGTCATACAATAAGCAACCACAACCTGAGGAAGATGGGAGGAGGGACAGTCTTTTTAGCACCGAGCATCAGTAACTAAAGAGACCCTAAAGACTAAAAGAAACTTTTTATGACATTTTGCAAATAACCAGAGGGGCTGAACTCATAATGCATAACTACTTAAAAAACTGCAATATATTTGATAAAGAGCAGTGTGTCTCAGAAGCTCCCCTCCGTCTGGCTTTGGATGGCTTTCATTAGTTCAGCTTCCAAATGTCTTTTGCCTTTACCCCCACGCTACCCCCCAAACTTCTAAACCGTTCCTGGTGTGTACATCTGGAGCACTCCACTAGCCTGGCATCAGTTTGCTAATTGATCCTCTGAAGGGCCGTGGCAGCCAGCAGTCGACACACTGGTGGATAGAAGTACATGTGGTGGTGCTAAGAAAGGTCTTTTGTTCTCCGGCCCCCACGCTCTCATTCCTTGTATGGAAAAACTGAGATGGGGGTGGAGGCTTGGGGAAAAGTGGGGTTGACCTTTTCCTAAAAACAGCCTCTTTTTCTCTCAGTCACTCAGTCGCACTGAAAATCAATAAATAATTGGGACAAGAAAAAAAAGCCATAAAAGGGCTGGGCTCTGGCACAGGTTCCCTTATAATGCAGTTAACTAAGAAAGGGCAAAGAAAACTGTGTTTTCATTGTGCTGCGTTAGCACAAAAACACAAATCAAACTGATTAAGACTAAATCACAATGAATGAAACTACTATAACCCTCAAAAAATGAAACACAAGAAGGCCTGGCCTGTTACCGGACAAGACTGGGGTTAAACAGGAATATTCCCTGTGACACTTTTCTGGACTTTCTATGAAACAAAAAATCAAACAGCATGCACATCCAAATTGTTGAATACTGGGTGCTGGACAAAACTTTAAAAAAAGTAAAAGGAAGACTGAATCCGCACACCAGAAGCTGCTCAGTTGTTCTTATTTTCCTCTGCTCAAACAGTTAAACATTATTTACATAATACCATTGGTGAAAAGGCTTGCATGACTGGCTGAAATCTGTCACAGTCACCTTTACGCTGTATAATCTCAACGCGTGTCAATTCTAAATACATCAACTCAGAAAACCAGTTCAAATGCAGCAGACATGGGGCGCTGGTGGGGCAGTGGTTAGTGCGCGCACCCCATGTATGGAAGCTAGTCTTCCAAGCGGGCGGCCCAGGTTTGAATCCAGCCAGTGGCTCCTTTCCCGCATGTCATTCCCCACTCTCTCTCCCTAATTTCCGACTCTATCCACTGTCCTGTCTCTCAATTAAAGGCACAAAAAGTCCAAAAATAAATGTTAAATTTTTTTTTTTTTAAATGTAGCAGGCATACCCTGGTGGCAGTGGTCTCTCCCATGTCGTGGTTTTGGTGTTGTGGTCAACGTAATATACTCGGCCATGAGGCAACACCCTCTGCTCCCAGCTACACACAAATAGAGAGAGAGAGAGAGAAAGACACAAGTATTTAGTTAACTTCTCAGATTTACATTTTACAAATATGCTAAAAGTACCTATTATATAAAACAATCTAATTACAGAGCAAACACCTGTCTCTATAATACCCAATTTAAATTATTCATAGAGTAAAGGCAGCGTCTCACGATAATTGCTCAGTGTGTAATAAGTGTGGGATAGTGAGGATTATGAAAATATCAACACTCAAATGATTAAGAAATGTTCAGAGTGCTGATATAACCTTAAACACGAGTTGAGAATATAAGTGCCTTTTTTAACATTGCAGGTTAGCAAGACATGTATCTACTCTGTATCTGTGTCATTTGTCCTTCAAAATTCTATTTAGAATATAATATCTAAAAATTGAAAACAAAATCATTGTATCTATATCTTTTATTGTCGGATGTAAAAAAAAAAACTGATTCTCATTTTTTCTTTAATCAGAGTTTGATATTGAAACTTTTTTCATTTCTTTGATATCCTCAACGTTGAAGGTTTTGACTCAACAGCTGGATTTAGAGTCACCTGCCTTGAATATCATCATGGAGAGGTTGATCCTCTTCCCAATCTTTTAGCTATTGTAGTGTTGCCCAATTATTCTGAAAAAATTACTCAATCTGAATTTGTCATTTAAACAAAATGTGATCATACTCTGATCCAAATTTCTCAAAAGGTCACATAAGAGCAGTGCTGCAGCTGTGAATAGAATTCCCCTGAGCAATGCCACACTTCTAGTAATTTAAACACAACATTATGTAAAAAGAAGGTAAAGAATAGTTTTACAGATTACTTGAGAATCTATCATACAGGCAGGAAGTGTTAATGAGCTCCCACTGCACCACTTCAATACATATAATGTTTCATACATTTGCATACACTGCCTCTCTTACCCTGCCGGAAGCGACTCATTATTGGATTCTGTGTTGCTGTTGCTGGCCTGTTCACTGTTAGGGGTGGCGTTGGGGCCGGGCTCTGATGGCGCAGCCAGAGCGAGGGCGTCCTGACCTGGAGAGGGGCTGCTGCTGCTACTGCTGGCTGCCGGGGAGCGGCCTGACGGTGAGGGCGGAGGAGGCGTGTGACGGGCCACGCTCCCACGACTATTCTCCAGCCCGTTAGAAGTCAACTCAACTTTGTCTGAGAGAGAAAAGCGACCGAGAAGGATGAGAGAGAGGAACGTTACTAACAAGTCACAACGTTAGAATCAGTTGACTACATTTACGTACCATTGTAAAAAAACAAAAACATGTGGGACTTCTTAACTTCCTATTGACAAAGAAGAAGTACAAAATGATCCTATAAACAAACAAAAAGCTGTGCAGAAGAACTGGTCTTTGTACTTTCCCTCAGTGAGGTTATATTCACTTTGGCAGGAAACTCCCCCGACACCGAAAACACACAACACAGCTGAACCAGAATGTTTCAAAAAGTGATTCTCTGTTTAATTGATTAATTATACACTTTTTTTTTTTTATCTACCCTTTACAATAATTATAAAAATACTGAATAATACTCCATGCCAATTAGGAAAAATTTTAAATTGAGAAACAGTGATCGAGATCTGCTGTGCTGCTGACCGAAATCACTGCGAGCCACATGCAGGGAAATCAATCATAATGTCCTGATTATACTTTTAAATAACACCGTTGTTTTTTCACACCAATCGAGGTCTAAACCTCGCTGACATCATCCCCTCCATTCCTGTCTGTCTGTTTCTCATAAAATCCTCATAAGCAGTATGTTTCATAAAGTGGTCGGCAAACATATGCGCCTGTAAACATAACTGGGAGGTTGGCCCTGTTGGAATCCATTTGTAGAAAACACTGACATGGACTCTTTGAGAAGAGAGGGAAAGAACGGCAATATTCAAAACGGATCAAATTCTGATCAAAGACTTTGACTTCAAAGGAGGCTGAATACATGCTGCATGCAAAGAGAAGTCTGCCTCTTTGTGAAGGTTTGAGTTTGAGCACATCGTTCTGAAGTTCATGATGTGGTTTTGTTTCATTTTGAGTCAATTTGTTACCTCTAATCACCCCTTTTGATTAATATAATATTTGCATTAATTACTAGCAGCCACCTCTCTTTGTTTAATACCACAATACATTAATCAAGAGATTTCAGTTAGCATAAATACACTTAAGTCCAGAAGGAGACGAGCTTATTGTGTACCTGCGCTGCTTCCAGGGCTGCCGTGACTCTTAGAAGGTCGAAGGCGAACGGATGAACCATCAGGCCCGGTGATCTGCTCCTCACTCAGCTCCCCGTTAGTCAAAGAGACCCCTCTGGTGCACCCGGGAGAGCCACCCTGTGAACCCCCCACTGAGTGCCGGTTACTCCTGGAGACAGATTTACACAGAGAGACAGAGAAAAGGATGCAGAGCAAGATGAGGGAAGAAAATGAAGGAAAAAGGTTAGAAGGCAGGAGACAGAGGGAGGGAGGTGCGATGAGACAGTGATGACAAAAGAACATCAATATTTATACTTACAGTGTGGAAAAAAATGTGTCTGGCAGTTTCTCCTACTCATTTTATGATGACCTTCATGTCTGCTTCCTTTTTTTGACAACTTATAATTAGACCTATTGTTGTTCCCGACTCAGGGGATCAGACCTGGCATATATACGAGCATGTACAAAAGCAACATTTAAAAACACAAAAACAGAGATGTCTATTTCTTTTCCTCTCTGAACACCCAGATATTTTCCAAACACTAAATATAACATCTCTTCGCAACAGGAGCTTTTATAAATACAGAAACATGTTGGCTTTCCCCGACCAGAATCGAGGAATGCTGAGGCCAAGCTGGGAACAGAAAACCAGATCCAGGGCTGTGCTCATTTTTACTTTATTTGCTACATTAAGAAGAGGAAGGATGCCAAAACTTGACATAAGAACCAGTCAAGCGTACTGTAAGAATGGGATACGGCAAAAAATATGAACCAAATATTTCTTTCTTTACTGAAATGTATTCATTCAATATATCATTTGATAATATTGCAACTTGGACAGAGGTGGACAGAAAGTTAGGAGAGGCTTGCAGGTTGAGCTGAAGTTATCAATGTTATCTTACTTTTTAGGGAAGGATTACTTATACATGTACATCCTTCACAAGGTTTTCAAACCCAAGAGGTTTGGGTTCCTCAGAAATCTTGGTTTGACTGGTAAAAAAAACACTGACCAAAGCAGACACTAGCTCAAACCAGTTTGGTGGTTTCAAGGACTTGTAGCTGAGCTGCTGCCTTCTTTAGATTCAGAACATATCTCTCTTCACTTACAGAAGTTCAAGAACTCAAAATCCTCTTGTTATTAAAACAATTTGTTTTGACTTTCAGTGCACAAGCTGAAAACTGATTGCATGTTGTAACACTTATTTCCACTTTGTTATACATTTAAAAAACATGTGATCATCATGATTGAAGTAAATTAAAATTGCACTCCTGTGTTATTCAGGAAAGCTCATTTTGTACCCTCATGGATGTTTTTGTGTGTGGGCACAGAGCTGCTCGTCATGGGAGACCAATAGATTCACCGCTCTTCCTCTTTCTCTCTGCGGCGTCTGATACAGATGTTGACTGCTGTTCCATGACAGCAGCGGTTTGGGCTCTTGGCTGAACTGTGTTTCATGCCCCCATGCAATGTTTAAAGGGAAATGCCATCTGACCCCCATGCAGCCCGCTGCAGAGTTTTGAAATAAATGCAGTCTGCGCCACTATTTATTATCCCACTACCATTCTAGCCGGGAGAGCAGCGTCTGAAACCACATTTTGGGGGGGGGGGGGAATAACATGCTGGCACTTTTCATAAGTGCTTGAATCGACCACACTGGCACAGGCTTCCATCACTCAGGCCTCAGGCCTCTTCTTCCATTTATTTTGATTACAATACTGCTTCAACTTTAGGATTTTCATATAAGCCCTTTGCATACAGTACTTTCTATTTTCTTTACACCACAATGTGTGCAGAATGATGAAACCAGAGTAGCCAACTGTGATTAAGATGACAAAAAAAAGCATGTTTCAGGTGTGTGTATGTGTTTGGGTAAGCTATGAGGATTCAAAAATGTTATGTGATTGTTCTGCAAAAAATCACTTGCACATTTCCAAAGAAAATTAAGTTACAGAAAAACAGAAGCGTTAAAATGATATCAAAACTGTCTCTTATACGGCTTTGGTGAGAAAGAATCTGTTTTATATTACTAGAATTTCTTCTATTATAAGTATTATTCTTCACACGACAGGTTAATCCCTGCTCTCACAATAAACAAGGCCTTCTTTTTTCACAATATTTGAGGTCTTAAGGGAAACAGGCTTTTATGGCTGCAGGGTTATTCTTAGTAAGACCGTGAGGAGGAGAGAGGACTACTGAGCTTTGTTGATCACATGTAAGGCAATTTTTAGTACATTTATTAAAAGTGCTTTTTTTAACCACTCACAGACTCAGATGATATTATAAGGGTTTGACTCTCATTTCTCATAATGCATAATATATAGGGAAACAATATGCCTGTGTGTGTGTGTGTGTGTGTGTGTGTGTGTGTGTGTGTGTGTGTGTGTGTGTGTGTGTGTGTGTCTTCACCTGTTGTTTGGTCCAGCTGCACAAGGAGTCTCCTCGCTCTGTGTCCTCCTCAGGTTGGGTCTGTCTGCCTGCAGTATCTCTGCAAAGACACATTACATCATCAATGCTCAGACACTGCTAATAATAACTCCAAGTCCAAGCTTGCACACATTCAAATTTAAACCACTTGCACTTTAGCATAGTGCTCATTTTGTCTGGATGGGTTGGATGGTAGTTGAATGTGAAGACGTAGAGTTCAGACAAATTGTATTTTATGAATTCAAATACAAAGTAATGTAGTAGGGAAAAGGGCAGGACAGATGACAGAACAAACATTTGAAGTTCCTGGATCATCCCATGCCAAGCTGACGAAAAAACAAAACTCAGACAATGACGTGAGAAATCTGAGAGAAGGAAGAATTGTTTTTTCCCCGAGGTAAGACGTAAATAAACAACGCGGAAGTAGCGGCCGAAGCAACAGAGTCCACTACACGACGTTATAATGAGAATATTTGCCTTTATATCAATACTATGTGTAGTCCAATGGAATGACAACATCCACAAAAGAGAGGAGAACAACATACTGACGAACAGAAAACATAATGCAGCCGTTTAAATACGTGCACGGAGATCTTTTGGTCGCGTGCAGACACTTTAGGCAGTCACTGTATATAAACGTCACTCTCTTTCCATTGGCTCAAATTGAAATCTCCGGAGTATATGCTGCCGCGTTCAGACATCAGCTAATAAAATATTATGGGTCTGGCCAGATAAACTCCAGGTAAAGTCCAGGCGAAAAATGCGGCTGTTTGCGTTCACATATAGCCTACAGCCTAAAGTTTTTCAGGAGATTTCTGTATGTGTGAAAAGGGTTTTATATACCTAAACATGCCCCCTGTTTAGAAACTCTTCTCAATCACATTCAACACAATATTCTACTAATCCTACATACAATCACAACATAACAAGAAACATGATGGAAAATTAAAAACTGTGAAAACAGTGAGAAGGGATTTTATATTCATTTACCATAACTATTTTACCCCAGTGATGGAACATGTAGCAATGGATGCACCAATGCATTGGTTCAACATCTGTATTGGCCGATATTGGCATATAATGACGCATGAACCAATGTGTATTTGTTGTGCTAAAAACTTTGATTTGTTTTCATTGTCAAACATGCGAGACAATGGTGTCATTGTGGGAGTCTTACACCAAAAGAAGTCATGAAACAAACATCGGTATCAGCTATGGGCTAACTTGTTACTTCAAACATCGGCATCAACAACGTCCCTGATTTTCCCCAATCGGTGCATCACTAACCAAGACATTTGCTGTATTCATAATAGTTACTAAATGAAACATAAATTTGATTTTAAAACCTAATCTGGCACACTTCTTTAGTGTGCAGAGGTGTCTGTGTGTTGATTTTAAATGTTACCACAGTGAAACAAACAGAAAGTAACCTCTCATTTCTCTGAATCACCTCACTCTCTCTATTCACTTAGTCACCGTGCTCTTTCCCTGTCTCCCTTTGCATCTATAGGCTAAAATTCAGATATACATAAAACCATTCTCATAGTTAGGGTTAGGTCAAATTTGTGTTTATGAAAAAAAGTCAAATAATGCAGCTTTAAAACATGTGGCAATGCAAATGGTGGTTTAACAGAGACCATTCATCCTTGTATGTACTGTGCCGTCTGTGCTGGTGTGTGTGTTTGTGTGCGTGTGTGTGTGTGTGGTAGTGTGTGTGTGTGTATGCGGTCGTGGTGATGTGAGGGAATGTGTGACTATATGCTGGTTCCCAACTGTGACTGAAAACCACAGACCTATAACATGCTTTTCATTAACACTCACTTTCTCCTTTACACACACAAACACAGCACCTTCTTATATGTACAACACTCACACCGGAGGCATGACAGGCGTAAACATGGTCCATATTTACACACATATATGTGTCCTGCTATCTAAAGTAAAGCAAACAGGTAATCTCTCACTGACTCACACTGTCTCTTTCTCTGTCTTGTGCGCACACACACACATACAGTGCTTTTTTGTGGCTATGAATGGGCGTCTTGTGAGCAGACCCGATGGACATATAGAAAAATAAACAGTGGTCTTGAGGAGAAACCATTGTGTCATAGTCTGCTCCCCGAGTTCATCACCCCCTCCTTCCTAATGGCAAAGGTCTAATTACTGGTTTTGCGCGTGCGTGTGTGTGTGTGTGTGTGTGCGTGCGTGTGTAGATACATGTGAGTAAAAATAAAGACCTTAGATCTTCAATTAACAATCATGTAAAACAAATAGCAGCTAAATCTCATGTTAGCAGAGGGTGAAGACAAGAAAAACCTTGACCTTGTTTGCTGTGAAAATGAACACAATTGTTTTGTTGGGAGTTTTTTTGGGAGAATATTTCAGTTAAAAAAGGAACTCAAGTGCTAATAAATCTAAACATGTTAACACGTGCTACAGGTTATAAGGTAAAATACCATTCCTTTAATTTTTGACCACCAAATCTAATCTTTTTCGTCCTAAACTCAAAGTGGACATTTGTACCACCAACCCTACAGAAGTGGCTCAAGGGTTTATTATACAGTCTTGCCTGAGAAAATTGAGGGAAATACTCTAAGTTTAAGAAAATGAGTGTTCTTTTATTGCATTTCTAATAGGGGAACAGTGTGTATGCCTGTTTGCCTTGATTAGTTGATGTCATTTATATACTGTTACCCTTAAGGAATTAACTTGTATATCATAATTGTTTGATGAATTGCCCTTTCAAAGCCTGGTATAGGACCTTGTTGTGAATGTTCTTAGGTGCACCTTTATTGTTGGTTTGTCTGGATATCTGTGTATTTTCATTATCCTGAAAGTGTAATATTGAAAATCTGTATTTTTTTTTTTTTTCCTAACTTTAAAGATAATTCCTCAAGGAGAAATATTTTGGTCACATGAATGGGACAGACAGGCAGATGAATGGATGACCTGAAAGCACAGTGCGTCCAGCCACGGCTTTTAGAGGAATAAAACAAAACAAATAATCCTACAAAAACACTCTCTTTACGGTCACAGCATAACGATTCTGTGGACCATACAGCATGGTAATGTAAAGACTCTTGCTTGATGTGTCCTGGATGATGAGGGTTAGTCAGAGTGTGTGTGATGTGGTGTGGATGGGAACCCGTGTATTTGAGAGGCATCCACCTCAACAAAGTGTGCCAATATCCCCAGAGTTTAAATCTTTCTGCTCTGGCTTCTTTTTTCTCCACAGCTTTCAGTACAAGGGTTTGTCTATGAAGCTCACTAATGTGTGTGTCTGTGTTTGTAAATGTGCGTGTGTGTGGGAGTGAGTGTGTGAATGTGCATGTGTCAGAAAGTCTGCCAGGGGAAATGAGTAAAACCTCCAAACTAACAGAGGTGCCTTCAGAGCGAGAACACAGAGCGCCTTAACACCAGCAGAAAGCAGCACACTTCCACCTTTATACACTTTATATATTCAGGCAACCTACATATGCTTGCACACACTCACACACACACACACACTTTGCAGAAAGTAAAACACATGTACTACCATGCATACTCAGAAGCTACAAAACACAAGCGTGCATTTACACTTATGAGGCCTGAAAACACACATACAAACTAAAGTGCCTCCCTATGAATCCCAGGTTTGAGGGCACACTTCATCCTTCTGTTCACCAGCCACTCCTCCCCCAAAAAAACACACATATACACACACATATGACCTCTGTCATCCCTGCCCTTGTAAACCAGGAGAGGAAACCCCCCCTCCTCCGCCACCATGCACACAGCTCTGGATCACAGGAGGCGATTGTACTGCTGAGCTGCAAGCAATGAGGCTCAATTACACAATTCTCAGAAACAAATTAGACAAAAGCACTCCTGATGTCAGTGATTATATATGTTTGGTTGTGTGTATGTTTGTGTGTGTGTGTGTGTGTGTGTGTGTGTATAAGTTTGCCCAGAGTTGAAAGAGAACCAAAAACCCAGCTATACAAAGACAACTAAGGGGGAGCACTTTATTCATTTAATGTTAACCTTTGACCTGCACACACGCTACCATTACAGACCCTGTTTTGTTTAACTGCATTGTGAGGATCTAAATTCATTCCTCCATGTCCAAAATGATTGATACCATGGGCTGGAACCAGCAGCGTTTTGTTATTCATTTTGTTGTCCATTCATTGAACTGCTGGTCGGGCTCTGTCCAAAGCAGAATGTGTGTAAGTGGATGAGCCACACTGACTTTATGCATTGGTTAAAGTTAACTACAGATAAGCTCACCTTAAAGCATAGTCTACTTCAATTGTCAATTTCAGTAATTGAGGCCATCATTTACCAAATGAACACCATGCTGTATTGTAGATTACTTTAGCAATTAAGACCACAAACTCATTAGGCAATCGATCAGAGGTTATACATAATGTTAGAGCGAGGGTCATTTTTAGTTACTGTAATTTTACATGCAATACAATTCTAATGAATACACATTAATGAAAATGTGTCAGCTCATTTGTATTCTACACAGAAGGTCGCTGCACTTTGAAAACTAAGTAAAATCTTTGGCTTTGGAGGCCCCTTTAAAAAAAAAAGCCACACCCATCAATGACATGAAAGGTCAACAAGATGAAACTACAACAGATGAGGGCTGGGGGATACTGACCAAAACTCACATCTTGATATTGTTGAGCTGAATGGCGATACTCCATATATATCAATATGTCTTAACAGATATCAGAGATAAGTCTGTTTTTCTTAATTGAGGCACAAACCACTCACACACACAATCCAGTATATCCCGGATTTATTGGATAAAAAAGTCGCACATTCTGCCTTTAATGTTCATGATCTGAACTATTGTAGCACAAGCCGATGCAGTTGCCCTTAAACCTCTGCAAACACAAAACAGCTTGCTGTAGTAAAACCAACTGAACAACTTATCTGTTCATTTGGTTGCGTTTTTGTTGCTTTTGGGCTTTAAGAAGTGTAAAATCAATTACTCTTTCTGCGCACATAATTAGCTCCATGTTCCGATTAAAGTATGTGGGCGAAACCAGAGTTCAGGAAGGATGTGTTAAGGGCGACAAATGCCAACAACTTAAGAGGCTTGATGGCCTGTTAGTCCAGTGCTTAAAAGTCTTGGCGTCTGTCTCTGACTGGTTGCCTTTATGAGTGAGGACATGACCCTGCCCTCTTAATAGAATCTTCTCTTTTTGCTGTTCTTGTGTGCGAAACAACAGAATGCACATAAACAAAAAACACCTACAACACACCTCCTCTTAACTCCTTGAAAAATCTAGACAGTCACAAAGAGACACATTTATACAGGCCGTGCTGTGGCAGGTCCTGGATATTTACTGCTGGCCCTGTGTTCATTCAGCCAAAGACACTGTGGACTCTGTGCGGTGCTCCATGAAAAGCCTTTTTTGTGAGCGTGTGTGTTTGTGAGTGTGACACAGAGAGGAGACGGATGCATGAACGTGGCTATGGTTTTAAGAGCAGCATATAACTGTGTTTGTTAAAAGACAGCGTATTCCAAACTTTAAATGTAATGAGAATGAGGTAAAATGTTAGTGCCGTGCCTGAAAGCTGGAATATTGTGACCAAGAGTCAATAAAGCTGTGGAGGGTTTGAAATCCCTCCTCTGAGGACTCTAAAATGATTTTATATTGGTTTGGGAACAGTAACACATGCACATGGACATAAAGTGTTCTTTTATGTCAGTGTTAAAGTTCAGTGAATACATGTCGATGGAGGCTGATGTGGTATAGCCTAAGAGCGGCTGTACATTCTGCTCTGGTATTAAGTTACAGTACATTAAATGTAACAATATTTTTTACATGTTATTCTTGGCAGAGCAGAAAAGTTCTGATGTCCATTCAAACATGTCCAAACTTTTCACTGAAAACCAGGCTTTGCTAAATTAAATACACATACGGGCTAACCCTTACTCACTTTTGAAAAACTTGGTTCTATTGTTATCGTGTTTGACAGAACCTGCCGAGGCAGATGTCCATCCACCCAGTAGTCTGATTCTGCCCAAGGTTTATTCCTGTTAAACAATAGCTTTCTCTTTCCACTGTCACCAAGTGCTTTCTGAGTGATGTCTTGTTTTGCCTCTGTAATACTGTAAATAAATGAGAATAAATGAAAGTGGATAAAACACCACAGTGTAGGGGTTAAAATAGTTAATTGAGAGTCATCAGACAGTAAGGCAGCAGAAACAAAGATGCCACATCCACACTTTTTCCAACAAACTTTTTTATATTTTGAAATGCATCATCTGTTGCTACATTTTGACCTCGAGTCCACACTATGCATTTTTTAAGACCAGTAAAAACTCTACAGACCCTGTTGGGTTTGATAACTCTGAGGATTGTTTTTAACTGTGAATGGGCAGAAAGTGAGACAAGTGGAAGTGATGACAAAGACAGCCACACTCACTTGTTAAATGGGTCTCATAAATCACAACATGACTCTCCCTGATTTAACAAGTAAACCCTTTTCTGTAAGAAAACAAACATGAGCTTGGTCTTAAAGCGATGGACTCAACATTAACACAGGTCCTGCTGACCTTGTTGTCTGTGCTGTGCAAAGACATTCTGCATTTGATGATAATGCTGTGAGTTTGATATTGCTACTCCTTCCTACATGCACAGAGGGCAAGCTATTGTTCAAAAGTCACTCCCGTGTCATGCTTGTTATAAGCCATGGAGTATGCTTTGCTGTTTTGGATGAGAGAAAACCGATGCACATGCATGCTCATTATTTGTGAAAGGTCATGTGAGATTTATTTTGTGGCATGGCAGTATTGACAAAGATTAATTCTGAAGCAAAGTTAGGAAAGCTTATTTTAATATGCTATTCTGACATTAATATATAGCAGTGTGTGGACATGGATTAAGGGCATGAATCATCTCAGTGTTCTGTAGCCCACATATTGCATCGAAAACCAATCCAGATTTTTATTCCTTATTTTTGGCCAGCTCTGATGGCTATCTTATTATTAGTATTTCTACTTCATTCAGTTCTAGTTGGTAGACGGAGCACTTTCAAATCATGCTAGTTGAAAATGACCTCCACTGCCTTTAATCACTGAAGGGGTTGCACAATTCCTTTTGAACAAGGGGCATTGTTAAAAATGACTACAATTGTACAGTCATGCATACATGTTTGTGTCCAGTTAAGTTCGATTTGACTGAAATACTAACAGTTCAGATTGTGAGGTGCATGCAGCCTTTTACAGGGTTTTACTTTTACCACAGTGTTGGTCAGTCTGTGGGCTTCACTCTCATTGTGTAGGAAAAAAAACAAAAACGAGAGGAATAGACTGAGAATTGTTTCTTATTTGACAAAACAGTTCTTGATTTCGTTTCATTATGTGCACATAATATGTAGTTAAAATATTTAATTTGCAGTATATTGTATTGAAATTCTCAGCATGTCGAAAAATATCGAATCGTGACTCAAGTATGGGGATAACATCGTATCGTGGGGCCTCTGGTGATTCCCACCTCTAAAATATTCATTTTCAAATAAAACATAACCATAACAGTAACCATAATTTTTTATACTATAAGAACTATTTTATACGCAACTGAAAAACAACGGCACAAATCCCTCACCTCACAATTACAAACAAACAAACACTATTTATTGTAAACTATGTGGGTGAGAAGTGGCTTTGAATTGTCGCCACGCACACAACATAAAACTCCAGCTTTTTTCCAAACGGGGGAAAGCGCACTTACTGGAGTAGTGCGACAGACAAGCATCCTACTGTACAAACAGATGCAAGCACATGTGTGTATATGCGGTTGTTGGCAATGTTAACAAACATTTTAAAGACGGAAAAGGAAAGAATGAGAAAAAGGAGAACTGGTTTGAATATTGTGGTGGATGATGTACTAATAAGCTGTCTGGATTTCTGTGGGAAAACTGTATGTGCATGTTCACTTTAATATTTCCCCGTGTGAATATGAAACAAAACTTACGTTTCCCTCAACTTGGACAAACTGAGAAACAATTTTTTATGTCCATGTGCTTACTTAAAAAATCGATTACATTTTTTGTATGTTTATTATGTATAACAGTTACTCTGATACAAGTTAGATATTGTTTTTATATGATAAAATTACACTCAAGTCAAATGATTGGGATTGTTTTGGGCTGCCCCCTAAATGCCAACCAACCCCAGTTTAATAGAAATTGTAATTTATTGACCACTGATGTTTGACACCCCCATTTGAAGTATTTTTGTTTTATGTTATTTTCTGCAGTGTCTTTTTCCAAAATTCCCCACACGGATGATTGACCCTTTTATTACTTCATTAAGGGGGAGGGTCTTTCCTCCATTAAACATTTATAAATGGCCTAAAGAGTAAATGCCCCTCGTGCTTCATTGTAAATTTCCCTGTTACTACCTCCACCTCTGTGTGTGTGTGTGTGTGTGTGTGTGTGTGTGTGTGTGTGTGTGTGTGTGTGTGTGTGTGTGTGTGTGTGTGTGTGTGTGTGGTAAGGTGGGACTCACTGTCTGCTGCTGTGCCATTGGGCAGCGTGCCCAGATCAACAACCATGCCGTCCAAACAGACGTTGAGCTCTCCTCCCGCTACAACCGAGCCTTTGTTCTCCGTCTGCAGCACCAGACTCAACTGGACGTTCTCCACTAGAGAGGGAGGAGGGACGACACAGAGGATGAGTGGTTGAGGTAGACGAGGAAAGGTGGTGGGGGAGTGGGGAGAAAGTTTGAGTCACAGTAAGGAAATCAGACATCCTCAGTTAGAGCTCCACTATGAGAAAAAAAGTGTCAAAACACAGCGTTTCATCTTCCACAGTGACATCATTACAGAGCCACCCAGCTGGGACATTTATCACAAGAGGAGGAACAGAATAAGTCAAATCATATCTTAGATTTATTAATAACGCTGTTGTGGTTTACTTCAGTGTTTTCAGAAGCAGACGCCACTTCGTCATAGTTCATCTGATGGATAATGATTTTTCTAAGAACTCAGATTTTCATCAGACTTAAGAGATAAAATCAATCAGTTCAGATTTGATTCACATCATTAGAGTTAGTTATAGTATTTAGAGTATTCACTCATGTTTTATTTTCTTCTCCTCCATTCCTTCAACTCAATGTATATACACTTTCAATGATGATGGCACCTGGCAGATTCAAGTAGAGGAATCTGCCAGGTGCTGCGAGATGACACTGAATGTTTTTGGTAGATTGAATTGATTTTAATGATCAAACATCACAAGATTTAAATATTTTAGCTGCATTTTATTTTAGTAGCAAATAGTTTTAAACTGTCATTTTCAGGGCGCCGATAGTGTAGTGGTTAGCGTGCGCACCTCATATACAGAGGCTACAGACCTCAAAGCGGGCGGCCCAGGTTTGAACCCGGCCTGTGGCTTCTTTTGTTTCCCTTCTCTCTCTCCATGATTTCCGATTCTATCCACTGTCCTATCTCTCCAATAAAGGCCAAAAATAAATCTTACAAAATTAAAAAATGAATTTTCCCTAATGGTCATCTTTTACAGTGCATGGAATATGATGGAAAAATACATCTTGGCAGGTTTAAGCAGTAGCCCTCTTTGGACATTGCTTCATATTGCTCAATCTCCTCCAACACAGGATTAGACAAGCTTCCAATAAGGCACTGACACTAATTCCAGCACTAGTTTTCACTTGTTTAGAAGAACCAATAAGGCGTATTCGGCTCGAGAGTGAAGGGAGTTTGCACTGAGAATTTCTGACAGCTTTTACGACAACTCGTCCAATTGATTTTTATATATTTATGCCACAACAAAAATACAAACTTAAATGAGCTGGGTCAATGGGCCGACACAATATTCCACCCAAAAATATCATCAGGTCTTTCGTTACTCCAAAAGGGTGGCGGGCCAAGATATGCTTACCATGATACGCTTATATAATAAAGTGGTCTGTCACTTTCATGTACTTAATAAGAATTATTTTATAAACAGTATTATCAGACCTAAAGGCTTTTCTGAAAGGGATGATCACAACTTGGAGGATATCCGGTGTATTCTCTGTAATCAGCAGCTCGTCCTTTATTTAATCCAGTTCAGTAGGTGATCGTTACTAACTCCTAAAGTCAGGAATTATCAAATGACCATGTCACATTTACAGGCCATCTCTCATCATGTGCTCAGCATCTACTGGAAATAAAGTGGAGCACCTTATTGTATAGAAACAGAGTCAGGTGTTTACTTCACTGTTGTGATATGGACATCTAACACATTTATGGCAACTGTCCAGCATGAGTTCCCGTGAAAACGTCACAACTTTTACTTTAAACTTAAGCATTTTGTGGACACCTTGGTGATTCATTTATATATATACATATGATTTTCTTTTATCATATTAACACATCCTTAGTTTTCCGTCTCTGTCAGACTCATGTAGTGACAGATCTTGTGTGATCTACAGACCAACAGAAAAAAACAAAAACATTTAATAAGCCTGACAGGACACGTTTGTTTTTCCCTCTGTCATGTTTCCTTCCACATCGATATGCTTTTCATATTCTGGACAATTTTAATCAAATAAAGATGTCAAGTAAATTCATACCTGACTATGATCCTGGTCTCATTTCTATTATACTGTTAATATCTAAAAAATAAAAAATAAATATATATAGATATACTGTATATATACACGTATGTGCGTCTGTGTCCTTACTCTTGCCGTCATGTGTGCGCAGTGTGTCCAGCAGGTCTATGGTGGCGCAGCCCAGAAGCTCCTTCCTCAGGGTGTGGCAGCTCCACAGCTTCAGGTCCAGACGACTCTGAGGCGTCACATTTCTGGCAAACACAAGGTGCCATAAGCTCACACACATTTTCAACTAAGGTTTGATACCAATGTAACACTAGGTCACTATTTTCTCAGTTGACTAAACGGACCATTTTTCAATCTCACTGATGAATCCCTCAGTGCTTGTGAAATAGAAAAAAAGAGAACTATCATGCAACAGTTTTTAAATGTCTTGTTTTGTCCGGTAAAAACAAACCATTTGCTTTATAAGAAAAAATAATAAATAAAACAGAGCAAAACAAGAAATTCACACACATGAAATGTTTAAAGAGATTTCATTAAATGTTGTCATGAAAATGTTTTTTTCCTAAAATTATTATTTCTCAAAAATGTTTCTGTTCATCATCTAAGTAATTTGTTGACAATTTCTAGCAGCTTTAACAAACAATCATTAATGATAAAAAAAACACATTTATTTAAATTTACTGTTGCAAAGCTATTTCAAAACAGTCAAATTCAGGACTGTGAAGAAGAGACAATGTGTGTGTGTTTGTGGGCTCTTACAGGGTGAGGTCTTCATTCCACTGCAGCTCGAGGTGCCCGCTGCGTTTGCCTGTTTTTTTGGTTTCACTGGTCAGGCCGTCGGCCGTCACCTCCACAAAGGAGCTGAGCCGAGAGTGACGGTTAGGCAGCTTGGGAGACTGAGGCTTCGCTGACACCACTGAGCACACAGACACACAAACAGAATAATGAAGAGAGTTCAAACTTAATACAAAAATTATTATTTATTCTTTTAAAAGACAAAACACATGTTAAATGAGGTCAGGTCAACACAGTTCAACAACAACGGTGATTTTTTTGCCCCCAATTTTATTATTAAATACAGATTCTGTTTTTGAAATATTCATGTTGTCTGTGAAGCATTCCTGTTTGACTAAAACCAATCCAGTCAAATCTCTTCAGTTGTCACACGGCAGACAGACAATGGACCTAAAATGCAATCCATGTTTGTGTCTCTGACTCTGAGTGTGCGTGTGTGTGTGTGTGCGTGTGTGTGTGCGTGATTTTCACAGCTGTTGTGCCTGCAGGCTTCTTCTTTTTTTACCTTGGTTTATATCATTAGGCACATTACATTTTAATTTAAATTACAGTTAATAAGATATGCTGAAGTTAATGCCCCATGTTCAGTACAAAAATGTATCTTGGGTCTCTTAAAAATATATATATATATATATATATATATATAAATAATTAACAGGGAATGGCTATTACAGCAACCCTGTTACATACCATTCTTCTCGAGGCATAATATAATTTTCCCATAATCACATCCAAAATATCTCCTGAACATAACAAAAGATAAAAAGTTTAGTGTCACTAAGCAGAGTCAACATACAGTATAAGGTTTAAAACCTGCAAAGTATTTTTTTCACGGCATTACGTTTTTTAATTTTTTAAATCAGCTACATTTATTGATTATTTATTTATCTATGTTTTGTTTAATAGGAACAGATACAATATGCAAAGACAACTTAAAACAGTCGTCCAATGCAAGTGTCAAAGTGTTTACAGCAGATGCTAATTTACAACTCCTGCTTTTGTTTAAATAAAAATGTAAAACAGTTCAAAAGGAAAAAGAGCGTAAACTGAGGACAATACACATTTACTGGTAGCTGTGATAAAGCAACATCACAGTTGTTTTTGTATTCTCTGGTGTTTCAATGTCTAAAGACTATCAAGTATGGACTTTAAAATGTAACTGCCTGTTAAACGTAACAGAGACAACAATATTTCTCCAAATGTATTTTTTCAATTCTTATAAATGATTGCCAACATTAGTATGTTTTCTGACTGCTTTAAGAGTACCTCATTTAGACACTTATCAATTATTAACCCTAACTGGTTCCACCAAAACCAGCAGGTGTTAACTGGCTTTGTGACACAATCAGTGTGATGGTTGATGGAGAAGTAAACAGGCCAATATAAACACTTCCCTCTAGTGGAAGAAAAAAACTAAACATGTGCAGGAGAAGCTTCATTCATTTTCTTGGGACTGGCCACTAGGAAAATCCTTAAATGGTCACAATGAGGCCACAGGATTTAAAAAAAAAAAAAAAAAAGATCAGCTGAGAAGCTGTAGTGGGGGCACACTGGAGGGAAGTGTTCACACTGAAGAAACCATTCAAGACTTTTCAATGACTTTCAATACATCAGATCACTTCTGCAGCCTTAATATTACTTTGTTGCCTGTTTGTTTCTGAGATCAAGTCTCCCTCCCAGCTGGACTTCAACGATCTAGTTTAATAAGTGCATGAAATGACTGCTGTGTTATAACTGTGTACAATGAACATTTTCCTTCTCCCCCAAATGAACTACTCCTGGATTCGTTGCAAAGAAGTTATGAAACTGTGGATATTCTGCTCTACATTTCACAGTATTTGACTGAAACTCTGTGACTGTGGTTAAAGTCTACAGCTTAGACAGACTTAGTGGCTTTGAATTCTTGCGAGCCTGCTGAGAATCTTGTTTCAGCATGTGTCAGTCATATGAGAGCTGATTCGTTCGTCCTCAATCACTTTTGGATTGCAAACTGCAGAGAACTCTACGGTGGCCCCAAGAGCTCAACACACAGCAGTTAAAGAAAACCAATGCAAATCTAGTCCTCATTAGAAGGTCCATGTTTAACTGTAAAAGCATGGATCGAGGTGTGACCTGTACTGTTTAATAAAAATCTCCTTATAAGTGGAGTCGATGTCATTATGTACTACCTGGGCTACATTTGTTTTCATATGATATGTTACGAACAACTTGTCCCCATATGGTTCACCTGCTGTTGTAGGAAGTGAACCGACTAATGTGTGAGTGTTTCGTTGCGTGCATGTGTAAAAAAGCAGGAAGGTTAGCAGATAAAGGTAATTACAAAAACTGTATTGAAGTAGTTTAAAAGTGCAATTAAAGTGGTGAAATAGGAAAAATAATCAACTACATATAGGGTTGAGATTTATTTCTAACAAAATGACTGTTGCCGTTGCACAGCAACAAAAATGTGTGCCAGAATAGAGAGGAAACAAAAATGACGTATTTATATATAGCTGGCGACAGATCATCTCTACTTCTGTGTTTTACGCCGGCTGATTAATGTGCTGCTCCTTTTAGAGGAATCCTCCAGTAACGCGCGTTGTACATAGGCGAGTATGTGACCATTCACGTTCATGACACAGCAGGTTGTCTAAGCATACGCGTATTTAAAAAGCAAATATAATATTGGCAGATATGATCATATCAGGTGACTATCGATATCGGCTAATTTTATCGCAGATATACACCGATATTATTAGACTTATTCACCACTATAGTTTCACTGTATTACACTAGTGAAGTTCTCTTTCACAAGAGTGTGCTATATGGATTACAACAAGCATCATCACTCTCCAGAGTGTCAAGTGGTGAGGCACGTACATGCGTAGTTACTTTTCAGTTGAGTTACCGTCTTGTCTTTGCTATATATCTTTTGCACAAGTGTTTGACAACTGGGATCAACGTAACAGATGTGTATATCTATACCTATATTGGATATAGATCTAAGATATCGGTGGATATATTGGTATATGATTTTCTCTCCCCAATATCTATATCGGCCCCCAAAAATCCCATATCAGTGTCGTGTATATGAGGTAAGTACTTCAAAGGCGTTGCATTTGTTGTCGTATACATTTTTTGCTTGCTTGTGTTTTGTGTATTTGGAAGTGTTTTTCTAAGGCAGCAGTATGTTGTGCTCTTAGGGCCACTCAGCCACACTCAGCCTGTCAGTGTTTCTGTGGGTGAATCTGATCCAGACGTTTGATAAATGAATAATGACGGGGGGGGAGGACGACTTCTGTCGGCCTACTATCACAGGCGAGACATTAGCAAATCTGCGCTGCTGCGTCTGAGTCAGGATGACAATCTCTGAACTCATGAACATCTGATAAGAAAGTCTGACTCATCTGCAGCTCTCTGGAAAGATGGAGCAAATGCCATAGAGAGGTGAAAGAGTCAACAGAAATACGACGAGTTTCTACGAAGTGAGAGAGGGCAGGCATGATGAAAAGAATTAAAGAGGTCAGCAGAAGATCAATGATGAGGTGAACGAAGAGGTGGGTTAGATGAGTGACACTAAAGGTCAATAAATGAATCATGAGTGAAAAAAGAATATTTAAGGTGATTTAGAAAAAAGGAAAGAGGAACATAAAGGCCTGTTTAGATAAACTTAATGTTTGGGGAAGATAAAACATAAATCCTGAGTGCACCTCTAGTTCTTAATGCTAAGACTCCATTACAATTAACAGTACAAGAGAAGATCATTTGGTTTCTCTTTGATTTGCCATAATTTATATTCAGAGGTAACTTTTTGGAATTATTAGTCCAAATTTGAGCAAAATCAACATTTATTTTCAGTCAATGTAACAAACAAGGTGTAGAAAAAACCCCTCAAAGACCGCACAGCACCGCCTTACATTTGATTTACCGGTAACAAAGTGCTTCATTTTGGAAACACCATGGTTACTGCCCGGCCAGTCATGGTGAAGAAACAACATAAAGAATCTATGTTGAGGTAATATTTTTCCTTCCTGAATTATGCAAACAATGAATATCTGGTTAAAAATATATAACTTTTTTTTAATCAGTTGGCTTTTTGTGGATTACAAAACTCAAGATATTGTTAAGTATCACTCTGCCATTTTATGGCTTTTAATTTTTGTGAAACTTAAAACTGTACATGTATCAATATTTGTTTTTATAAATTGCTACAATTCTAAATATACTTGAGGGTATATTATATTTGGTACCATGATCTTTCTTTTTTAAGAATGCCTCTTAGCCGTAAATGACCATTGATCTTAACAAATAGCTTTCAGTGTAAAATAAATGTTTAAATGCAATATATAAATTAACACTGTTTGCTTGAAAATATAAAGTCAACTAAAATAATGAATTTAGAGATTTGTTGTTAACACTTCCTTTTTCTAGCCATTATAACATTGTATTCTACTGAAACCATTGGGTACAAACTTTATGAACTACAGGAAACAGTTGATTTCTCTTCGTAGTTGAAGGGAACTGTGACATGAAATAAAGCTCTGGGTTCTTCACTGCTTGCATCTCATTTCTACTACAAGTAGTCCTTTGAACTATTACTAATTTAAAATACTGACTATTGTTAACTGGACTGTAATTAAACAGCGCTTTTCTACTCTTCTGAACACTCAAACTCCACATTCACCTATTCACACACACATTCATAACTGAGGGCAGAAAGAGCTTTGTAAGGTTCCCAGTCTTAACTAATCCCTTTTAAACCAATCACTCCCAGCTACGCCACCAAGAGCAATATGGGGTTTAGTGTTTAGCCCAAGGACACGTCAACATGCAGACTGTGAGAGCCGGGATCAAACCGCCAATCTCCCGATTAAGAGAGGACAAACTCAACCACTGACCCACAGCCACCACAATTGCTGCAATTATAATCTGCAGGAGGTTTATTTACAACGTTCTGATCAACCGGCTCATTGGGTCTCTTTTTTTCCAGCAATCAACTTGATGAAATCAAACAACAATAACAAAATCAACTGTGAGAAACCACAACGATCACGTCAAAGTAAAAGATTGTTCACTGACTAACCCATTGGTTAGTTGCACCAGTGACTTGAAAGTTCACAGTATGTTACAATGCAAAACTACACTGTGAACTGTCCCACAAAGAAGAATAAAAATACCCATTACTCATCGTGCAGAAAAAAACTATCATTAGCCAACACAGGATGTGCTGAGGTGTTCGAATGAAACACAAAAGGAGCAATTAGCACACCAGCAGAGGTGATTTCACATTCCCTACATTTACAGTCAAAGTCGGGTTTAGTGGATCTTTCTTCTCCACCGACTGTAATGACTCAGAACTGTTTTGAGACACAAACACAAAAAAGGTCACAATCTTTTCAAGCTTTCTTTGGATTATTTGTGTGTTGTCCTAAAACTGATTTGTGCTGATGAAATATTCAGTAATCATGTGAATTTTACATTAATCCAATGCCACATTATTTATGCCTTTGTACGAGCAACTGCTGGGGTGGAGCTGGTTCAGCTGCTGGACAGAAAGAAGTAGACTGCATACAAATTTGACATGTTTTTTTCTGTGCATGAAAAAAATAGAGTTGATGTAAAAGTCACAGTCCAGATATTTATTAGACAGCATCAGACCAACCTAGACTGTGAGTGACCTGAGCTGCAAATGGAATGAATCACTGTGAATGACAGCTGGGCAATAATACACTGATTTAAGCAATTTATTCAAATGTGTTTAAGAACAATGTTCAAGAATAAAAAAAAACTGTAAATAATGTTAAAATGATACAGATAGATTACTGCTCTGCAGAAGTTCTGTGGTTCAGACACAGTTTCATTGTCATTTGATAAAGACACTACAATTTGTTCCCATCTGTTCAGTTGTCTGGATGTGGTTTGCTTTTTTAAGGGCTGACCTCAGGCAAGCTGAATGTAAAGGCAGCCTCACAACTAGCGGGGAATAACTAGAGCATCTCAGACAGAAACATGCAGACGAGTGGGATGAGTGTGAGTTACTGTCAGTTCCAAAAAAGGCTTGTGTTTTTTTTTTGTTTTTTTTTATCTTGGCACAATCAGCTAGCCCTCCTCTTAACTCATTGAATATCCTGATTAGGTATTTCTATAAGGGTTCCTTTGCACATGAAGAGCAGGGACTCTATCAACCAGTACGGATAGTACTCTGCATAGCAACCTATGTCATCAGTGTGAATGTTTATGTGAAAGAGTTAAAGACATGTAGTGTTAGAGTGCTTTGAGAAGTCTGAATAACAGAACATCCAAACACTTCTCCACTTATTTTTAGTTTGGAAGTCAAGCCATTTTGGACATGATAGAAAAAGATAAATTACCTTTTAAGATCAGCTGAGACTTTTCAGTGGTCTGGGAACTGCCAGGTCTGCTCACACTGGCAGCTGCCATGACCTCACAGCTCTGAAACACAACGACACAAACAGACAAACATGTATTACAGTGAACAGCTTGTCATCACAACCTTAGAGCGGCCCTAAAACAAAACATATATTACATATTAAGCTGTTTAATTAAGTTCAAATGCAACTTCCATTAAGAAAAAGGTGTTGTCGCAACCATGAGCAGGATTTGTGTCTGACCCAATCACCATCACCTTGAGCAAAGTCAGAGATGTAGTGTGCTGCATTGACTGCAGGGAAATGCAAGTGCAGTAACACACAGTGAAACTGAGCACTAGCCTCTAAACAGTGAATGTAAGAAACTATCCTAAAGCTTGTTTGTGCAGTGGATGTTCATCCTGCCATCATAGTAACGCCACTTTAAAAACAGCATCAAGGTGACTGCTGCTGGGATCTGAGCCTGGGACCAGACCCAGGGACGCATTCCCAGATGTGAACTGACCACAGCAACCTACTGATAGCAAAACAATCAAAATGAACACCTGACATCTGGCTCCGGACTGCAGAGAAGCCCATCAAAGCAATCAAAACAATAGCTCACAGCATCCTCCGTCAACCTTGTGAAACAGTGTGGCCGGGCAGGCAGCCTGAACTATCACCGTCACTTAGTGGATACTTGTCTAAACTAAACTAGACTAATAAAGATTTAAACCGTACAAATGAACTGACTTCATTGTCCTCTTGTTTAAATACCCTTGGCTACTGCGCACCAAACACAAACACGGAAGATGATAAAGACATTTCTATGCATCACAGTCAAGCGCCACAAACTTAACATTAACTTCCGGTCATCTTTATTTCCAAACTAAAACTTTTGTCAGCAAACATACATATTTCACAATGTAGTGCAACTAACACAACACACAAAACAATAGACATGCTAAATGACGGGTCGAAGTTTGCCTGGCAGAAATTACCAAAAATGATTTTGTGCTTGTTTTCCAATCACTTAATAGTTTTTCCGCTTTTGTTTATAAAACCAGGTGGTGCAACATCCGGTACGTCGCTGCTAACACTGCCCGCATTGACTCACAGAAGCTAGCTGTTAGCAACCAAGCTTCGTAAACAGAATTCACAAAAGGACATGTCGATAAAAACTGTTCCCGTCACTTGACAGCTGGTAGAGTTGCGTTGTAAGTTCTGTAGCTCATGTCACACCGACGTATATGTTGAATAACTAAACAATAACGTTGTAGGGTAATCTTTCCCGTACCTTTTTCAGCTCTGCTGTTGTCGCTAGTGAACTTTCATTTCCGCCTCACTGACAAAAGCCACGTGACCTGGGGCATGTCTTTTCATTGCACAAAGGATTGTGGGTCACAAATAATAAACATAATCACTTGTTTATTTCAAAGTAAAGTTGAATTTTACACAAACAGAGTAAACATTCAGTATTAGAAAGCAAATGCTAAAGCGAAGAATCAAATATGTACAGCAAACAAAGTTAAGACAAACATGATGATTATCTATCTATAAATAAATATTGATACGAGCCACTCGCAAATCCAGAGTGACAAATTGTCACTATATATATTATATTATTGTTTTTAGAGGCGCATTCATTCTTTAAAAGGCAGCATAAGGAGCTTAAAGTAATAATAATAATAATAACTTTATTTATATAGCACCTTTTAAAAACACAGGTTTACGAAGTGTTTTGACAAACAGCAAGAACAAAGCAAACTAAACCAAACACAGAAAAACATTAACAACAGTAAGAATATAACAGATGCAAAATACCAAAAATAATTAAATACAATTTAACAGAAAAGAACCCAAAGTGCACGATACACAACCAGACATATATAACCCAACCATCACAAGAACCATCATAAGAACCCAGGAACACAAGAACCCAACAACACGAGCTGAGACCAAGAGGACCAAAGATTTAAAAAGATGTAAGAAACTAAGAGATAAAAGCAAATAAAAAGCAATAAGAAGGTAAGAGCAGTAAAAGAAATAAAAACAAGTGGTTAAAGGATCAAAAAACCCAAAACTATAATATTAATAAAAAATAAAAATTAACTATAAATAAGAAACATAAATAGACAAAGTAAGTAAGATAAGAAATTACCAAGTTAAAACACAAGAGGAGATTAAGATATGAGCATAAATACGAGATAAGACCATAAATAAAAGACAGTAAGAAGTAGAAGAAGATAAAAATAGTAAAACCAGTAAGAGAAGACATTAAGAAGAGTAGGCCTACACTATCACATTAAAAACGTGTTATTAAGTTATATTAAGCAGCCACATCATTCATGTCTCACAGCTCTGTTCAGAAAGGTTCAGGCAGCTTGTCTTCTCATTTGTTTTGAGACGTAAGCTGTTATGTGGACAATTTGTTTATTAAAGGCTGAACACGTACGTTTGTTCTTTGAGGCAAATTGGTTTCCATTAAACATCGATTTTTTGTTTTGTTAAGCCTTTGAGAGTATTTTATTTTACTGGGTTTTTTTATCTGAGAAAAAAAAGAATGACATGCCCTGCAAAGATAATAATAATAATAGTAGTAGTAATAATAATAATAAATTACAGAATAAGTATCCCAGCTCTTTGGACAGATAGATGTAAATTATCTTTTTAACAAAGACCCTCTGCCCAAGAAAATGAAGGGAACAATTATTTCACACATCAGATATTGATGAATGAATCAAGTTAATAATCTTTCCTGATGTACATGGTACAAGTTATTAGGAACAAAATGACATAACAATGGTCAGTGGAAACCAAAATCAATAACCTATTATTTTTTTTAATTATTTTTTCATTTAACCAGATTGAGATTAAGAAGCTCTTTTCGAGCTAGACCTGTCTTAGACAGTTAGCAGCACACACACAAAGCTACAGACAGAGACACAACACGAGAAAAAGTACAATTTACAAAACACTGAAGTTTGCATTAAAAGAGAACCATCTATTGAGGGCTGTATTCAAAATCACAACGAAAATCAAAGTATACAAATGACATCACAGGCTGATCCCACTTGTGTTAATTTTGTCACTGCAACTCATTATGTGACTCAAAGTGCGTTTGGTCTCCCAATAACGACTGGACATGCTCCTGATGAGTCAGCGGATGGGGGGCCTCATCCCAGACCTGGATCGGGGATTCAGTGAGCTCCAGTCTATGGTAGAACTTGGTGGCGGCGGATGTACCGATACATAATGTCCCATAGCGCTAAATTGGATTTAGGTCAGGGGAACTAGAGGGCCAGTCAAATCCCTTTGTCATCCAGGAACTGCTTACACACTCTGGCCACATGAGGCAGGTATTATCCTGCGGCTGGCTGCCGGCCTACGGGCCAGTTGGTAGAGTCATCGCCTTTCAACCAAAAGGTCGAGAGTTTGATCCCCAGCTGAGTAACATGTCTGATGTGTCCTTGGGCCTGCATTGCTCCCGCTGCTTCGGTGGCAGTGTATGACTGGATTAGTGTTATACTTAATCTCTCATGTACGTCGCTTTGGATAAAAGTGTCTGCTAAGTGAATTGTAACATTATCCTGCACCAGGAGGAACTCAGGGGCCCCTGCACCAGTGTAAGGTCTGACAATCACTTTGTGGATTTCATCCTGATAGCTAACATCAGTCAGGGTACCATTGGCTTTGGCATGAAGGTCTGTGTGACCCTCCAAGGATTTGCCTCCCCAGATCATTACTGACCCACCACCAAACCGTCCATGCTGGATGATTTTACAGGCAGCATGACGTTCACCAGAACACAGCTGCTTGTGTTTGAGTTTCCAGACTCTTCACACCTGTCCAATATGCAAATATGAAGTCGGGCCTTCATGCTACCCTCATGGAGTTTGTTTCTGACAATTGTCCAACTGTCCTCATGTAACTACTCATGTAACTGGTCTCCTGGTATATCTCCTGTGTTCCTGGAGACACAACAAACCTTCTTGTGACTGCTTGTATTGATTCACCATCCTGAAGGAGCTTACCTGTGCAACCTCACTGGTCTACAAGTACTACCTCATTGTTGCTATCACAGTGACTAGGACAGCAGGATACAGAACTAGAGAAGAATCAGTGAGGAAGGATAAGAAGATAGAAATTGTCTGTGGCCACCACATGCAAAAACATTCCCATTTTGGAGAATGTCTTGCTTTTGCCTCTCCAATACACCTGTTGTCACTTTTGTTTGCACCAGAGCAGGTGAAAATTGATTCTCAACCACTTTCTAAATGAACAGATTGATATCGAACTGATTTGGTGTTAAACTGTGATGATTAAGTTTTCCTTTCATTTTTGAGCAGCGTTTATTCTATTCATCAGGCAGATAATTATCTAAGCTTTTAATAGAAACCTTTACTAAGCACTGTAAGAAAATGACTAAGGGGTGCAGTATTTACATAGATAGTTGTGTTTAACAGGCAGAGGAGAAAAATACTGTTTCATTTTCACAAAGGTGTATTTCAGTGTCCATAAATTTGTAACTTAAAAAAGGGCAATCTCACGATAACAAATTAAAAACAAACCATAAACTTGAAAAGCTCCTGTAAAATGTAGTGTTATAATAAATGACTTAATGTAGATGTTTTAGGTGTGAGGAGCGGTGGCTTCTGGGAGACATTATACCAAACCAGGTGACATCTATTGGTTCTAATGACCCCTGCTGCTGTATGTTCAATTGACATAACTAGAACAGACTACTACCAGAGGCGATGGCGGACTAGCGGTTAGCTTGGCAGAGGCTGTAGTCCTCGAAGTGGGCGGCCCAGGTGGCTCCTTTTCCATATGTCATTCCCCTCTGTCCCTCTACTATTTACAACTCTATCCACCATCTTATCTAAATAAAGGCATTAAAAGGCCAGAGATTAAATCTTTAAAAAATAAAAATCTACTACTACCATTGAATTCTTTCCCGTAGTGTGCGATGATAATCGTTTCAGTCTAGTCTCGCATAGCCAGACCTATCTCTGTAGTTTGTCTGAGCGCTGTGCACTGGAGAGAGATGTGGCTTGATACGTTGTCATATGGTCTGCTTATATGCCTGGTCTACATGAGTCAGACTAGGTGGAACCTTAACCTAAACTTTACCAATTGGTGGCTGTTTCATTAGGTTGTATTCTTTTAGTGTTATTCAACTTTGAGCAAATCATTTGAATACCTAAACTTCAAGCTCTCAAAAATAAAATAGAATTAACGTGATACCACATAATAAATACTTAGGCTACTTCACAACATCTTCAAGTGACTATGAAAAGTACTGCTGCTGGTCTGATCTCAAAAGTGATAATCTGATCACAACTTCAACAGTCCTTCACAGCCTTAAAAACCAGTTACCTATATTTATGCCATAATATGTTTATTTAAAATGTTTATTTTATTTCTACATGATATGGAAGGAAAAAAGTGGACGGTTTTGCCTTTCTTTGTGTGAGGGATAAGAGAATTAACCATTCAACATTTTCAAAAGCTACTTTCACAATTTACATCAGTCAATACCTAACTAATCTTTAATTTGGAATTGTATCAGTACATCTACTTTGTACTTTTAGCTGTTGAATCCTTCACTTTCTTTTCCTTTGCCTGCTCGAAACAAGGTTCACAAACTGCGTGGGGCACGTTTGATCAAAAAGAATGTTCATTGGATCTGAAGTAAATGAATTCAATGATTGTGTTGACATATATACACAAAAGTACTCCAATACTAACAGGGCTTTCTTACAACCCTGAATCATGTGTTTATTTTAAATGTAACTCTGATTATTGTGTTATTAGTTTAGACCTCATTTTAATGATTGGGTGGAAAAAATCTATTTCTGCTGAAGGGCGGCATTTGTTTGCCATGAAAGAAAATGTTTGAGACCCACTACCTGAAAGTGGCTAATTCAGCCAAGAACCACAAGAACCATCTTTGGTTTAGCATAACTAGAACTGCCGGTTCAGGTTTATGTATTGACCAGTAACTGAGCTAATAGAAGGTGTACAATCAAAGAGAGGTCACGTTTTTTCTAATAATGAACAGCACACGTCTTTCAGTGGTAGGCCCATATAAATCTTTATGCTTTGAAATAACAAATAAAAACATGCCGGATGTAATATGAGAATACGCCTGAACATTTCTAACTGTCATTAAAGCTTGAAAAAAAGAAGACTTGGCTGGTATATGAGCTTTAAATCATTCCACACTTTGACTCATTTAGCCATGAGGTTCAATGGTTCTCTGTTATTTCCCGATTGGACTGTGTTCATGACATTTACGGTAAACTAAGATG